GTGTGTGTGTGTGTGTGTGTGTGTGTGTGTGTGTGAGGCAGAGATGAGATGAATGTAATCAAGTTTTTTTTTTTTTAATTAGATGCTGTTCTTTTCTGGGAAGCCTGTGGCGGCGCTGGGTGGAGCCTGAGTGGAGACAGGAGGTTTGTGGTCTGCCTGATGGAGCGAGGTAATAGAAACCGGGTGTTCGCCGTACGCACATGCACGCACACGCACACACAGAAAACATAAACTTGTGCTGACATGAATCTGAAGACACAGCCCTAACAATACTAATATCAGTCACATACTGTACTCCCATTGTCTTGAGTCATCCCCCATTTCTACACGTTTTGTTTCCAAGGAGACGGATTTTCTGCAATCATCAGAATCAGAATAAACTTTATCATCATCGTACCGAGATACAGCGAGATTATGTTCGTACAGTCCGAAAGATGGGCGTTGCTGCTGCTACAGGAGCGCGGCCTCTTATTCTTTATCAGAATACTTTTTTTTAGATAGAAAAAGGTCAAAGGTCATGAGGATGGATAGTGGTATTACAAAAAAGATCGCTTCACATCTTGTCCTATCAGAACACGATTTAAGACGCCAAAAGGCCAAACGGGGGGAGTTAAATTCAGAAAAGCATTCCACTGATCCATGCTATGAGCCTCAATCAAGGTCTATCCCAACATGCTGGCGAGTCCTAGAAGACGCAGGTGGCCTGCGATTCTCACAAATCACTTCCATCTTACGGTTTATCTCATAAATCAGCTGATTTTGAGTCCTCGTAGCACAAACCAAACCATCACACAGACTCTGCAGTTTTGTCACGGCCGAAACTGTTATCTTCTTCAAAAGCCGAAAACATAAGAACCTGCTGATGCCAAAAAAGCAGAAACCCTGCTATCATGAATCCAATTATATAAACGTCTTCGTGTCTTCCTGAGACAGAACTGAAAGACACATCAGCTCCCACCCCCAATCACGGGTCCATGACGCATCCTGCAGCGTGAGTCTCAGCAGGACATGAGGGCTCTCCAGGACCCCGGTCGTTTTGTTGAAAAGATTTTGTCGATTGTGTTAAAAGTCCAGCACAACAGATCCATGATAGTATTTTTCGTTTGGAAGATGTGCAACAGGAGCTCCGAGACACAGCCAGAGAGTAAAAAGCAGGAGGAGAACAGGGGAGAGGAAAAGGCGTCCGCCTTGAGCGAGTGCAGAAAAAAGTTGCAAGGGCGATAATGTTTTTGCCTCTTTGTTAAGGAAACATCTCATGAACAACTGTATTTTAAAGAAACTCAAGTAATCGTGGCTGCCACAGCCAACTACCATACAAAACACAAGAATAACTATGACTCCGCTGGTTTTATGGGAGTTGAACTACAAACCGGATTCCAAAAAAGTTGGGACACTAAACAAATTATGAATAAAAACTGAATGCAATGATGTGGAGATGGCAAATGTCAATATTTTATTCGTAATATAACACAGATGACAGATCAAAAGTTTAATCTGAAAACTCTACTGGATGCTCACGATCTCTGGGCCCTTAAACGTCACTGCACCTCAAACAGGAATGCCACTGTCAAGGAAATAACAGAATGGGCTCAGGAATACTTCCAGAAAGCATTGTCCGTGAACACAATCCACCGTGCCATCCGCCGTTGCCAGCTGAAACTCTACAGTGCAAAGAGGAAGCCATTTCTAAGCAAGCTCCACAAGCTCAGACGTTTGCACTGGGCCAGGAGTCATTTAAAATGGAGTGTTGCAAAATGGAAGACTGTTCTGTGGTCAGATGAGTCACGATTTGAAGTTCTTTATGGAACACTGGGACGCCATGTCATCCGGACCAGAGAGGACAAGGATAGCCCAAGTTGTTATCAACGCTCCGTTCAGAAGCCTGCATCACTGATGGTATGGGGTTGCATGAGCGCTTGTGGCATGGGCAGCTTGCATGTCTGGAAAGGCACCATTAATGCAGAGAACTATGTTCAGGTTCTAGAACAACATATGCTCCCATCTAGACATCATCTCTTTCAGGGAAGACCCTGCATTTTTCAACACGATAATGCCAGACCACATTCTGCAGCAATCACAACATCATGGCTACGTAGGAGAAGGATCCGGGTACTGAAAGCCAGACTGCAGTCCAGATCTTTCACCTATAGAGAACATTTGATGCATCATAAAGAGGAAGGTGCGACAAAGAAGGCCCAAGACGATTGAACAGTTAGAGGCCTGTATTAGACATGAATGGGAGAGCATTCCTGTTTCTAAACTTGAGAAACTGGTCTCCTCTGTCCCCAGACGTCTGTTGAGTGTTGTAAGAAGAAGGGGGGATGCCACACAGTGGAAAAAATGGACTCGTCCCAACTTTTTTGGGATTTGTTGACGCCATGAAATTTGGAAACAACAGATTTTTCCCTTAAAATGAAACATTCTCTCAGTTTAAACTTTTGATCTGTGATTTTTTTTAAGTGACCTTTCCTACACACAGCTGCAGCAACACACCAAAATGGAAGTCAGCAAGTTGCCTTTTTTTTTTCCAAGTTCAGAAGATGAACAGGGCAGATGGAGAGATGGACGGTGTTTCCAAGTCACCTTTTTTGTTCTTGGACGATAAAGAAACTGCACGGTGGCGACACGTTCATGTGAAGAATGAGCTTCTCACGTTGCAGCCCTCTGAAATATGAACCCCTAAACACTGATGATGTGTTCATTTGCATTCACAAACATGCACATGGGCTCATGCATACGTAAATCCAGACAGGGCCCAACACACACACACACACGCGAATGCACACTCACGCATGAATGCACACTCACGCACTGCCTGTCATTCACACAAGAATGTGCCCCAGTGCACAGAACTCATTACACATGCAAACCTTTAAACAGACTGGAGTGAACACACACACACACTTTATGCATGACAAAGTTTTACCCATAAGGCTGATAGCTGCGGCGGCCATCTTGAACTGGGTTAACACAAAAAGCAGTTTGTCATCCAGTGGCTCATGAGATATTTTGCTAACAGACTACTCTGATGAATGTCAATGCATGGACACAGCTGAGGTGTGAGGGTGCATAATTTACAAACTGTTCTGGTGTTCTCTGTGGTTCTGGAGCCGACCTGAGCGGGTCAAACTGGGCAGGTCAGAGACTTTGAACAGGGCACCATCTAGTGTTGCCTGCACAGAAGTTTCCTCTTTACTTAAAAATAAAAAAAGAAAACATTGGGCGTGTGCCAGCTGTTCTCATCCTGCTCAAAGTGATTTGTTTTTAACAAGAGACTCGTTTCATGTCCGAGTCTGGGACCTGAAGGTTTCCAACTCGCAAATTAACTAAAAGTTGCAACACGTGGAAAAGATTTATTCACTTTTAAAGGAACAAGAAACTGATGAAAAACGACAAACGAGTTTGCACTGTTAGCAAAATATCTCGTGAACCAGTGGATGGATTGTAATGAAACCCTTGGAAAGAAACAACTGGTTGCATAACTCTTGGTATAAACCCAGTTCAAGATGGCCGTCACAGCTAATGGACCATCGTAATGGTTGGTTATAAATTAAAGGTGGAGTTAAACTTTACGTGGTAGTAGCTGAGAGTCATCCTCAACATTTAAAGAGTTTGACTGAAACAACTCCGGTCTCGTTGAAATAAACTGGTTTGGATCGGCTGTTTGTTCCCGACCAGTACCCAGAACTTTAGAGGAGCTCGGCTGTGGACGGAGGTTTGATGTCGGAGCCGCTCATCGTGATGTTTCATGCACTTTTCATTTAAGTTATTGATGTTTATTTTTTTCTTTTTATATTTAAAGTTTTCTCGTAGGAATATCCATTAAATCCACTAAAAGCTCTGGAAGGATGTACTGGTAGTTGTGGTTTTCTGGAGCTCAAATACACACCAAGATGTTCAGAATATTTAGATTGTGAACAGAAACGTTTCATTTTGATTTGGATTGAACTACAGCTAATGACCTTATTTTATGATACACCGGCCTGCCGTAAAATGGACGAACTGTGGGAAAAGGCAGAGCTGGAGTTATAGAGATTTAGCTATGAATATAAAGAAAGTGTTTGCTCGATAGAAAAATATTTTACACACACCAATGGCTGTAACTCAGTCAGTTTGATGAGGGAGTCGCTGAGAGTCATCCCTAACACAAACTGCGAGCACCAACACACTTTGTTCACATGTTCACAAGCTGGAACATCTTTTGTGCCGGTGCCAACCTCGAGTAAACACCGAGGGCATCCGGCGTCAACAAACGTGCAAGTTCGTCCAAGCGACACACAAACCGTAACGAGATCTCACAACAGAACGCATCATCGGGTTGAAACTGCAGCGAGAGAAGAACCAAAAATGAACATAAAGTTTCTTACATTCGTGGTTTTATACACTGGAAATGCTCATTTGAGCTAATTTTTTTAGAAATGCAGATTTTTAATTGTGTTGTATTTTCTACATGTCCACACCTGGAAAATACTACAATAAAATGTACTTTTCCAGACGGTGTAGGAACACAGGTTTATGGAAAACAAAGAAGAGAAGAGCTCATCTGCCTGATTACATTATAGACCAGCTGCCCCGCCCACCGGCCTTTTCTAGTTTTGGAACCAGAGTCCTGTGCGCTCAGGATGTGGAGCTTTAAGCCCCGCCTACTCCCCCAGCAAAGTCACGAGCTTTCTTTGAAAAACAACAAAAAAATCACAAATAAATGTGTTCGATAAACGACTGAGACCAGGCGTTGGGCAAGCTGCTCCGGTTCCAACTTCAACTTCCAGTGGATATGCATGAACAGCGAGCCTGACGGTTCAATCGGCTGGGAAGGAAGCTAAATATGTAACTAAGGACGATGGTTTTTTTTTTTTTTAAATCGCTTCGACATTTTAAATTTATAGCCGTTTGTTGACTCAGCACAAAAACACAACTTTGCAACAACAATAAAACACAGCAAATGGTGTTTATTGTCAAAGTGTAGGACAATGTTATATGTGCATAAGTCATTATCGTGAACTCTAGTTGTGCAACAAACTAAGCTACAGTATATACAGACACCTATCATGAACTGCTGATAGCCGGGTGACGGTCGTACTGTATAACAGTAAATCTAGTTGGCCGGGCGCTTGGAGCAGGACAGTCTACAGACGATCCGTCAGACGCCCCAAGACTTTGGTATCATCCGCTTTTACAGTGTAATATCAATCAATACAACTAAACACAGCCATTAAAAACATCCACATGAATATACTCAATGTTATGCAGAAAATGCCCCCCCCCCCCCCGTCATTCCCGCGCTTTTATCTCCATAAAATCCGTTAAAGGTTAACCAAACATTTAAATGTTTCACATCTCATTAAAGTAAAAGAAAATAATGTTATGAGAACCCTCCGTCTAGATATCGACAATACTTTGTGAAAAATATATGTATAGTATAGTGAACTAAACATTTACATGACTTTACAGGTGAAACATCGTTTTAACTCTTTATAATAATAACAATAAACATAATATTAATAATAATAATAATAATACAGCCCCACAGTCTGTATGAACATGCGAGGGTCTCTCGTTACTCACGTCCGTCTCTGACCCGCGGCGCCGCCACACGCTCGCGTCAGTGTGTGTTTGTGGGTTTTTAGGTGTGCACGGCTGTCAGTGTGTCAGTTTGAGTTGGGGTGTGTGTGTGTGTGCGCACGCGCCGGGGCTCAGCAGTCCCCCGAGTTGTGCGAGTGTGGCCCGGTCTCCAGCTTCCAGTCTCTCTGGTCGGCGGCGTCCGCCTGGGCGTGCTGGGAGGCGGCGGGCGACAGGGACATCTGTCTGCGGGGGTTGGCGCTGTGCATGGTGTTCCAGTGGCGCTTCAGGTCCGACGCTTTGATGAAGGCTTTGTCGCAGGAGCCGCAGTTGAAGGGCCGCTCGCCCCGGTGCTGCCGCTCGTGGTCTTTCAGGTGGGACTTGTGCTTGAAGGCCTTTTCGCACATCTGGCAGGCGAAGGGCCGCTCGTTGCTGTGGACCCGCTCGTGCCGCTTCAGGTCGGGGCCCCGGATGAAGGCCTTGCCGCAGACCACGCAGCGGTGCGGCTTGAAGCCCGAGTGGATCTTCAGGTGCTCTTTGAGGTGGGCGGCGGTGGTGAAGGCTTTGGGGCAGTGCTCGCAGCCGTACGGACGGTTGGCGGTGAGCAGGCGCTCCTTTTTGGCGTTGTGGTCCATGGGTTTGGCTCCCGTGGTCTGGCAGGATACGTGGTCGCGGTGGCCGTAGAGGAGGTACTCCAGCTTCATGTCGCTGGAGGTGGAGGAGGCCCAGCTGTGGGTGTGGGGGTCTTTACCCATGCCCGTGTTGTAGTTGTGAGGCTGCGACACGTGAGAGCCGCCAGGCCCGATCCCGTCCATGCCCTGGTCGTAGAAGCTGTTCTTCCGCACCTCCTCCATGGCCAGCTCCTTCAGGATGGCGTCCTGCGCTCTCATCCCGTGGTCGTCCGGAGCCTGGTTCTCTCGCGTCTTCATGTTGGTCAGCTCTCGCTTCTGGGTGCACAGGTTGTCCAGGAAGTTGATGCCGAGGATCTGACCGGACGACATCATCATATTGATGTCCTTCTTCCTCACGGCCAGCCTGGCCGTGTACATGTAGTTGAGCACCTCCTCGAAGATGTCGGAGCGGATGAAGTCGAGCTCCACGATGGAGTTGTCCTCGTCGCTCTGCTTCTTGAAGAGCTTCTTAAAGTAGTTGCTGCAGGCGGCCAGGACGCAGCGGTGAGCCCTGAACTCGATGTTCTCCACCACCACCACCACGTCGCAGTGCTCACCCTCCATCCTCTGCTGGTTGAGCATCTTCAGGAAGGTGGCTTTGTGGTCGTAGTCGATGTATCTCAGTAAATCAGACATGTTGCAGGTCAAAGAGAAGCAACCTGTGGAGGGAACACAGCAGACTTGTTAGATCCCATGGATCCTGCACAGCTGATGGGTGGAGCTGTTTGCGCACAACTTTAGAGAAAACAGTTAAAAACACACAAGAAAAACAAACAGAACCGACAACTGAAAGCGTTGCTGTTTATAAATGTGCACCAGTGAGAGGAGGAGTAAACACCAGCAGCTAAATCAATCATGGAGGAAAAACTACGACAGGAGGCCCGAGACGAGCCTCGGAACGCAAAGAAAGAGTAAAAACAAGAAGAGAAGCGAACAGGCGCACTTCACTTTGCGCCGACAAGTCGTTTTCTGCGCAGTGTTTACGTGTCAGCCGCGCCAGGAACACAGAACCTCCGTGAGAAAGATTTCACATTTCACTGCGCCCAGCCATTTTGGTCGGCTCCGAGCCTCCGCGGGTTCGTTTCTGCAGCCCGAAAAGTCAGTTGGCAAACTGAAGCGCAGAATTGAACCGAACAAAACCCGGTTCGACACTTCCGGGCCGCTCCAACACAGCGAGAGGGAATAAAAGTGTTAATACCTAAAGCCTGAGGCCGATCCCCGTGTTGTCACGCAAGGCAGTCGACGACGATCCAGATCCAAAGCTGTCGTTTTTTCCTCTTCCTCCTCTTGTTGTGACTGCGCGGCTCCAAAGGAAATGCCACTTCGCTCTGCTGCCACCTACTGCGCCGGAGCTGGAACTGCACCCAAGATCGTCTACGCACAAGACAATGAGTTACTCCAACGTGATTTTTTTTTTAACTGCCAATCTCAAAGCAAAGTGTCGAATGTTTAAATTTAATCACCTCAAACAGGTGATTTTAGTTGATTTATTGAAAGACAACTTTTTTCTTCTTTCACCTGTTCCCTTCATCACAGCGAACTGAGCCGCACGAAGACATGGCAATTATTTTTACGCTGGATACCTTTCCCTGAAGCAACCACAGCCCTCTGTGTGGAGCGGAGCTGCCATCTAGGGCGCCCAGGGGAGCAGATGCTGGGGGTGGAGGCCCCACCCAAGGGCCCAGAGTGGGGCAAATGAGGATGGAGACAGGTGTGGGCCCCCACCCACATTTTGATGTTGTCTGTACCTGGAGTTGATCAGGCGATCTTCCGATCACAGACCCACCTTCTTTAACCTCTGCGCCACCACTCCCTATTGACAAAGAACTTCAAGTAAAATTAATTTAACTCAACAATCTACCTGGATTATTGAGCATGCATCAAGATATTCCTCAAGATGCTTTAGATAAAAAAAAAAAAAAAAAATCACATAAACAGCCACCCACACACACAATATTCGATTTTTAAACCCATCAAGTTAATTTTTTTTAGTATTAGTAATAACAGATTCATATTGGTTTCATTGATCCAAGTTAACTAATATGATTCATATTAGTTTAAGTTAGTGGCTAGAAAACATTTGGAATGTCAGATTTACATGTTATATTTTGTGAAATTAATCAATTTCATTTATTACAAAGCTTTATAGAGCACACAAATCCAAAATGTTTTTAAAACGAATCAGCTGCACCTTTTTTTTTTTTACAGCTGAAAACATTTTGCTTCTCCTCGAGTCTTTTGAGTTTCTCTGTACTACAACCTGTGCAAAGTTTCAATCCTTCAAATTATTAATACAAAGGCTGCTTGAACTGTGCACATCACATGAAGACAATTATACATTTATGTTTTTCTACAGAAACTATCACGAGTTGACCACAAATAATTCAGATGCTTTAAAAACTCATTAGAGCGACAGTAGTGATACCTCTTACTTTTCTGTACTCTTCGGCACGCACACACGTCTCCCAGAGGGGCGGGGCTTCCGAGGCTTTTGGTTCTCCAGGTGTTATCATACATGCAGAATGTTCTGCACGTTATTACGGTAATCTTACTCCCTTCAGTTTATTCATTTAACATTAATTAGCAAATAAAAATCTTAAATTCACGTTAATGCATATGGAAGTGACTCAATCTGAGATTGAAAACACAAACGTGTACAGCAAGTTTTTGTACTGTAGTCACTTTATTTCAGAGGAAACCAGCAAATTAAAAAGGAAAGCATTCTGTAAAACACGGCTGAACATGAGTCAGATACATGTGAAGTGATGAAGGAGACAAAACAGCTGGCAGGTTGGCTGCCTGAGCCCTTTGCCTTTACACAAACTTGTGCCGCAGGCCACGGTCAAAGCCTGCACAGGCACATTAAAAAACAAACCTTCGTATTGATTTCTAGGCTTCAGCCCCAAACAGACCTTGCAGTGTTGTAAGCGACTGATGAGAAACAACAATAAAACACTGAAATTACATTAAAAAGTGAAATGAATGCAATTCAAACAGACATTACACAAATCAACCTTAAAAGATCATGAGCCATTTTCCTCAGGAAGCTTTATGTACAGTGCTGAGGTGTGGAGGTCTGTCTGTAGTGGCACACCAGCTGGAAAAATCATTAAGGGGAGTGAAGTAATGCTTGTTTTTGCAACGAGGTCGGCACTTCTACAGCGAGGTTAAATAGTGTTGGCTCTCTAACATACACAGCCTACAGCAATTACAAGTTTCTGGAGTGATGGCTTTATTTCATAAATAAAAATGTTGCTACAATAATTATTTTCAGTAATCATAAAAACGCGTCCAAGTCATAAGGCAGTGAAAGCAAACGGCTTGCTTTGCTGGGATTCAGCGCGCAGACGGATTGGGAACCATTTTCTTAAAAAATAAAAACTTAAAAAAATCAGACTGTTTACGGCGTTTTCTTCTCGTTTGTTTGATAATTCAGCTTTGCGTCCTTCTCATGCAGAATGCATTCATTTGTGTTGCAGGTGATGTTTGAGTGTAGCAGCGAGCTGCGGCGTTTGGAGAGCGGGGTTCCCCCCCTCCGAGTCCCGACGTGGCGGGCGTGCGGAGCCTCTGGGAGGTCTGGACAGAAAGCAGCCCTCGGTGTTACTCCTGGAAGAGCAGAGGAGACAGGAGTGAGAACTTCCTGCACGTTTAACAACATCCGAGACTTTGAACACAGAAAACGAGCCTCAAGAAAGACCGCTACGACTTCGCCCACGTTTACAGGAAGTCCGAGGGAGCACAGGGTTAGAAAGGAGCAAACGCACAACACAGACACACACAAGGTCGGGGATGAAACCCGTTACAGCGAGAGCCATTTTCTTTTTCGTTCGTTAACTTTAAATAAGCCAAGCTGCTCTACATTACGTCATGCTTTATTCAGCAAACTTATTTTTAAGAAACATTTGTAAACCGATGAAAAACAAGCCCATTTTGATCAACATGAGGCTGATGGATGTAAACAAACGCAAACAACCGTAGATCCGCTGAACATTATAGTAAAGGTGTGTCCCAGTTTAACTTTTCCTTAATAAATGCACTTCAACGGTCAGATCAGCTGCGTTTCGCCTGGGCGGTGCGGCGACATGCAGCTGATTTGATGTTTGCTCCAGGAGTGCCAGAGTGAGAGGAAGGTGGCTTTGTATGGCAAGCCAAGTGTCTCATTAATAGCCACTTTTACCTAATAATGAGACACTTGGCTTGCCATATTAGTTGAGGGCCCCCTAGTGGCTGAAAATGGTAGTGTTCAATATTTTCTATGTCAGAATGAATGAAATCGTCAGATCTCAGTCAAAAATTGGGTTATAGATAAATATTGGGAAAAAAAACAAATACGTCACTTCGCTGTACAAGTCGCAGGACTTGCAAATTTATGCAAAAAAAATTGTGACTTATACAGCGAAAACTATGGTACTTGTTGATTTTTAGTGGTTTCTAGTTGGATCACATCATTCTGCTCATCTGGCGTGTTGTGAAGAGCTAAATGAGCTTCTGTGCAAAAGTTTTAACCACTTCTTTATACTTTGCTTCCAACGAGCCAGACTTTCTTCAGATCTTTTTAACGTGATCTTGGTCAACAGATTTCTTGATTCTCTGACAGTGTTTCAAAGTTTCTGTCCAGCTCTTGTATTTGATTGCAGAATGATGGGGAGAGGAAAGGTGAAAACAAAAGAGCAAAGTGTCAGACCTAATAACTGTCTCCAGCAGACCAACACTGGTTTATGTCTTATCCAGAAAAGATCTGACCCATAAAACTCCTTCTGTTGATCATCTACTGCAGCGGTTCCTCTATAAGTCACTAAACATCAAGTCTGGGGTCGTGAGATGATTCATGGAAACACAATTAAACTATAAAATAACTAATACTGTACTTTTGCTGTATAAGTTGCACCTTTTTGCAAGTCCTGTGACTTATACACCGAAACGACTAATATCCTGATGCATGCTCAATAATCCAGGTAGAAAAATCTAAAAAAGTTAAATCTGGTCCTCTGGACATTAAAATAAATAAATAAATAAATAAAATAATTGTAGAAATGTTTTGTCTCTCATCCGAAAGACTTCCTCAGTCTGAGGTGCTGTATTCAGCTCAGTCTTATAAATAGCACCTTCTCAGAGTGGATCAACCAGTTTGCTGCTGACAACCAAAACCAGCTGATCACATGCTCAAGAAGGACCATCAGCCTAACAATGGATCATTAGCACACTGATGGCTGTTTACTGTTCACAGAGGGCTGAGTGATACTAGCAATCACAGCACACTCACTCGCACACACTCTCTCTCTCTCGCTCTCTCTCTGTGGCTATTAATGATACACTTGACTTGCCATACACAGCCACCTTCGTCTCGCTCTGGAACTCCTGGAGCAAACATCATCAGCTGCATTTCACTGCGCCACCCAGGCGAAACGCAGCTGATTTGACCGTTAGTGCATTTGTTAAGGAAAAGTTCAACTTAGACCCACCTTTGCTATAAAATAGAGCAAACAAATAATTGTTTTTAGGTGGTTATCTTGTTAAATTCTTGTTAAAGTCCTCCCGTGCACGCTCCCGTGGCCACCATTTGGCAGCCAACCGATTTAAGGCACAACACCGGCCCACGTTTCCAGGTTGTCAGCGATGACACATAATAGATGCGACTTATACAGCGAAGCTACTTATTTATGTTTTTCCCCACTTTATTAGACATATTTGGATTGATGAGACTTGTACGGCAGAAAGTACGGCAATTAGAATTTTTCTTTAGCCATAATTGTTATGAGAAAAAATAGCTATTATTAGCCAATAAAACAGTAAAATGGTGAATTTTGTTGTTATAACTCATGTTTAATCTGAATAATTGTGATATTTGAAGATTCGAACCAAAGATATTTGTGCTCACGAGTTTCTGCTGCCGTCGCAGCTGAAACGTTTGAATTTTCTGTCAGACTGTGACATATTTAATATTTTTACAGGCACACTCAAAGAAACAAGAACGGATTGTGTCTGTTAAACAGTCCATCAATCAAATAAGAATTTCTGAAATCAAAAACAGAAATAAAAATGACTTAATGCCCACTCGGTGCTCATAAGGAAACCAAAGTGATCTGGGGAGGGCAGAATAAAGCATGACGTTCTCTAACACTGGGACTTGGCTCCTCGCTGTGGGGTTTTCTCAGGATCAGACTCTGCTGTCGTGATTTCAGCAGCTCATCGTTTCTTGTTCTGACCCCAACGCTGCGTGTGTCTGAGCTGGAAAACACTGAGAGACCACAGAGAAAACATTTAGCAAGGTGTTAATGGTGCTATTCAAACACACACACACAAGTAACGGCGAGGCTGCAGGAACTAAGCCAAGCATTCCCATCTGGTGAGTCGTGCAGGCATACTCATGCACGGCTGCTCATCCCGAGCGTCGCTCCTCGAGATCGTATCCAACACTAATGAAATAAAAGCCGCGGAGACAAACGAGGCGGCGAGCAGCTTCCAAACTCAGAAGACGCTTCAGCCAAGACGTCTGAAAGGACGCGAGTGAAACGAAACGACAAGCTCCTTCAGGCAGCTGCACACCGGCTGGAACCTGCCGCCGCTGACGAGTTCAGACACATCTGGACCGATCCCAACTCAAAACACAAGAAGGAACGAGATTAACCGAAGTTTGACAAACTGTTAGAAAATAATCTGCTCTGGAAACAAGACTCAGATCTTTAGATTTGGGAGCAGCGGGCTTCTTTTGGAATAAACGAGCCCGCTCACTTGGATCAGGTTAAACTCAACCTCTTGACGTTACAGTTTTTAAAACAAACGTCTGAATCTTTTTTTTTCTTCAAACGAGCCAAAATGAGTGAGTTTAAAAACAAAACAAACAGATGAATTTTTCTTGTCCGAGTTAATTCCCACATTCCTTAAGGAGAGTTAAAAAAAAGACTAAAGCTCATGCGCGTGCACACGAGATCAGATTTCAGTCCACGCGGGGGTGTTTGCACGTACGATGAGAAGCAGAAGCCGGTTCGGCCGGATTTGATTCTCTCATCACTGCAGGTTTTTTTTTTTTTTGTGGACGTAATTATTGGAAAAAATATTTCTCACGTTTTCTACTCGTCGGTGCAGCACTGGGTTGATCGTCATAAAAAGTGGAATTTAGGCTTCTTGAAAACAAAAGTTTCTCTCCAGCACCCCAGTAAAGGTTTTAAACGGCGTCGCTCTGAGTAAGACGTCAGGTCTGCGTGCACACCGGCAGCAGCAGCCCCTTCTCCCTGCGAGGACGAATAAAGCTGAAACAGCCACAGCACGATGCGCAAGCTGCAAGGGCGACAGAAAGCGGGGCGATCCAACCCAATCTAAAGCAGCCCAGACTAAACCGGACAGGGGTGGGGACTGGTTGTCTTACCTGGGTCAATCCTCACCCTCCTCCGGCGTGATCTCTGTCTCTTTATGTACGACTACTTTGGTCACTGACATGTCAGGGTGCTGTTCTTTAGCCTCCTTTATGGCCTGAGCCAGAGCCTACAATATGGGGGTGCAGTGCCAGGAGGGACCACCGGGGGGAGACAGAGAACGGGGAAGAGCGGGTGGATGTGAGTCAGTACCCAACAGTGAAGCCACCTATTCACATTATTTTAGTTTGAAAACCACATCATGAGCTGAAGATTTCAGATTTCATTCGTCGATCGCTCGCAAACTTAAAGCCACAAGGTCACCAAGGTCACACTTATCAGAAAAAAGTCCTTTTCGGATCAAGTTACTAATTAATGAGGAAGAAATGTAAAAGACCTCATCGTGGTCGATGTCTGCGTCTCCTGTGATGACGATCCTCTTCTCGATTCTCGTCTCTGATATTCCTCCTTTCACCGTCTGATGGACAGAAAAACACACGTCAAAGAAAAGCTTTAACGTGAACGTGTTCTTTTAACTTATGATCATTCAGAAGGTCCACACGATTAAAACATGTTCCTAGTGGAAAGATGTCTACCCAGAAACATTATCCAGTTCATGTGTTAATAAAAACTGGTCCAAATCTGTCAAACAAGATCATCTTCAACCTTTTTACATTTTGGAAATGTTTCCACGCGCACTTTGAACATTTCAGTTTTTTCCTTTTGCTCAAGTTTATCAAGATGGAAATTAATAATAACTAGAAAAATTGCATTTCCTGCAAAAATGCAGAGTGAATGCTTACTGCTGAAGAACTTGCTGAAAACAGCTGAAATCGGCTAAAAACATGCTGAATTTAAGAACAAGCCTAAATTAGCTAAAGAAAGCAGAAAGAACACATATTTGCTGAACTAGGTTTAAATAAGCTGAAACTAGCACAAAAACTATGAAAACAGATAAAAAAGGCTAAAATTAGCAACAAAAAACTAACTAAAAAGTAGCTGAAAAGACATAAAGAAGCTTAACTACAAGAAGGAAGTGGAAAGAGCTGAAATGAGTTAAAAAAATGTGGAATTAGCTGAAAAAGCTAAAATGACCATAAAACAGCTAAATAGTAACTGAAATAAAATAAAAATTTGAAAAAGCCGAAAGGAGCATATAACAAGTAATTACTACGAAAAACTTGAATTTATCGGAAAATGGCTGAAATTAGCTAAAACTTTTCTAAAAAGGTAGCTGAAAAGGTAGAATAAGCTTAAATTGGCAGAAGAAAGCAAAAAGAACACATTTGCCCAATTAGGCCAAAAGAAGCAGAAATTAATACAAAAAGTAGAAATTAACTGAAAAAGCTGAAATTAGCAAAAAACAGCTGAAAAGTAGCTAAAAAGGTAGGAATAAGCTGAAATCACAAGAAGTGGAGAGAACACATTTTTGCTGAATTAGGCTGCAAAAACTTTAAATGAGTGCAAAAACCATGAAATTAGCTGAAAAGGCTTAAATTAGCATAAAACAGCTATATAGTGGCTGAAATACTAGAAAAAGCTGAAACTTGCAGAAATAAGCTGAAAGGAGTCTAACAAGCTGAAATTAGCAGAAAGAATCTGAACGGAGCACAAAACAGCTGAAATCAGCTGAAAGTAGCTGAAAAATGTTTAAATTTGCAGAAGGAAGCTGAAAGAAGCTGAAGCAGAACAAAATGTGAAAGGAGCAGTAAAAGGTTATAAACGGATGTAAAGATTTGAAGGATGTAAAATGAGCTCAGTTCATATTCTATGAGGAAAATGACAGAAAAGGCAAAATATTTCAAAACAGCTGAAGTTGCACCAATACCAAAAGTCATAACAGGATTGTCCTGAATGAGCTGAAAGTTTTGATCTATGATTTGTTGAAAACTGCGTGACGAGAAACACGCCGGAAAACATATGGAAGAAAAATGGACCACAATAGAGTGGATGCTTCATAAACATTCAAACGATTATTGGAATAAAATAGCTTAAAATACATTTTTTCTTCATTAACGTTACAAACGGTGCACGTGTATTTCTCAGTGTTGCCAGATTTTTAGTTTTGTCAGTAAATGGAGACAGAGAGGCGAGCAGGAGCGCCGAGAGGCTAACGAGACAACGGATGCACCCTGACCTTCGTGATGTGCGTGGTCGTGGTGGTGCTGGTGGTTTCCGAGGTGATGGTCTGAGCGCTCAGCAGCACCCCGGGGTCTGCGTCACCGTTGGTGTCAACCTGTCAAAACACAACAGATTTGTCTTCTGGACGAAGTCACAGCACTTTGTTAAACCCTTTAATAAAAAATATTCAAGTCACTTGTATGAACGACCACCGATTGAAGACAAATGTTGGTTTTTGTTTCATTCTCAGTGTTTTGCATCATTTTCAGATATTGTTTCTCCACAGGGTCTGGTTTGGGAACCCTCGGGGTCTTGGTGTGGTTCTGTTGGTGTCTTTGGGCCATGACCTTCAGCGTTCACTGAGCTGGTTTGCCGCGGAGTGGGAAGCAGCAGGAATGAAGATGCAGCTCCTCTAAGCCCAAGGCCATGGTTTTCATCACCGGGTCAGGAGGGTCTTTGGTTCAGGAGGAGTTCAAGTATCTGAACGTCTTGTTCACAAGTGATGGTAGGATGGAGCAGATGGGTCGACAGATCGGGCGTTGCTTTAACCCAGTTGAGTAGAAAGGCAAAGCTCTCGATTTACTGGTCCATCTATGTGTCCAACACTAATCTGTGGCGATGAGGTTTGGATCATGACCTAAAAGGAGTCAGCTGAGGTGGTCCAAGCATCATCGTAGGACGCCTCCTGAACCCTCTGGAGGTTTACTGGACACGTCCCACTCTCGGTTCAAAATGAGACCTCTTGGGTTATTCTGACCCAAGGGCAGCAGGAGGGTCACACTTATTTATTGACAAAGAACTGAAACTCAACTTTTAAGAGTGAAGCTTGCAGAACAACGCAGCGCGACGCCGACTTGTGGACATGAAATTGCTCGCTAACGACCGAGTGGAAAAATCCTGCAGCCTAAAATCCCAATCATTGATTGTGAAGCCGCTGAAAGAGCACAGATACCCAAAGCAGCTCTGACTGTAAACGGCCGGTCGGATCATTAAGTGTGTGTGCTGGTAAAATCTATAAAGCTGACAATGGCTGGTCTTTGTACCCTGTAGGTGCTCCGGGTCCAGGGAGACTCTTCATCTATTTTCATAAACTTAGCAGTGACGCAGATTAAGAAACATTAATGATAAAACAAAGTGTTTGTTCTAGTTTCTTTTTAATTAAAGATTATTTTTAAACTTTGAATAAAAGAAAAAAACAAGTTGTTTTGTGCAACTGGATCCAAATAATGACCAGAAATCAAATAAAAAAGATGTGAATTTAAGATTTAAAAAATGAAATAAAGCTAAACACGGTTTAAAAGTACTGACAGCAGAGCTGCATGTTTATCAGATGAGTTACTGTGATGTCAAGTTGTGTTTAGGTTTACCTCGGATGCCTCATAGGTGATGGTTTTCGTCTCTGTGTGGACCACTGGCATGTCTTTGGCAGCCACCTCCACGCCGTCAGGAGTCTGCAGCGCAGACAGAGAACAGAACCAAATAAGTGCCTGCAGACCCGAGTTAGGACCAGCTTCTCTAAAAACTCATATGTTCAACCAAACGCCAAAGAACAGACACTCGTACGACACAGAATGTTTTTGTTGTAAAAACAACAGCCAGCTGGTGTACAAGTCAAATCCACTCAAATAAGCAGCACATGCTCAAAAACAAAGACTGCATGGTTTAGACGTCGAAACAAACGGGCGTTAAACTTTCTAACCCCGTAAAGGAGAGGGGACTGAGGAGAAGTCTGTCGACCACAATTATTACAGTCTTCTGGTTTGTGCAGCAGCAAACGTTGGGGGACGATTGGAGGGGTGGTGGGACCACAGGACCTGATGCAAGTTTACCTCAGACATTCACCAAGAAGGTGATGCAAGTCTGAGTCGCTCAGTTGAGCTGGACTTCAGGTCTTCACTGTCACCACTACCCAACATGTCGTTCCTGCGGTGTGGACGGTTTTTGGGAATTTCTCAGGCTGCGTTCAGCGTACAGATCACCAACTGAAGGCCCGCGAAGCATTACGTTATTAATAAATCAGATGCTCACAGCGCCCAACTCAAACTCTGTCACAGAGAGAAAGAAAACCTGATGATCGACCTCAGGAGGACTGCTGCTGGAACATGAAAGTCCAGTTCATCTGGACCTACTGCAGTCGCTCAGTTTTCCATGAGGTTGTTATGGAGTTGGAGCAGAAGACGCCTGCAGATGCTAAAAAAAACAAACTACTGTTCTCCAAATTTAAGCCTGACGTAGCTACACTCCAGTGAAAGTAAAACAATCCCCATCTTAATGTACTGATTTTAGAACCTTCTTTAAATCCTCAATGCCCAATTTTTATATAAATTTTTTGAATATATCATCATTTGTAAAGTTTAAAACTTATGTCCTGGCTGGTAAAGTCACAATTAAAATTTCTCATTTAAAAAAGTGTCTAACAATAGAAAAAAAAAGCAATAAAAACATGGTAAATGCTGTATTTTTATGGAAGCTTAACTTAAATAACTAAAATAGACGGGTTAGTAACAAGAACTCGTCAAATGTCAGCTCCAACACTAAACAGCAAAGTTTATAGAGCAAATTTTACTGATGTTAAAGTAACTCTTCTCTCCCAGTGGCTAATAATCCAACTGGTCTAGTAATTTTAGTTGAGCCGTTTTCTTTCCCCTGAAAGGTTTTGGACTTTTTAGACACTAAATAATCTTCTTTACCCTCTTCTTCCTCAGTCAGAGACAGTTTGTTTCTTTCTTGCAAACAGGAGCAACACTGAATTCAGTTTCATCTCTTCTATAATTCAGCTGCCACCTTCACCACCTGCTTTACTTTAATGCTGTTAAAATCAGGACAAACTTGTTGAAATAGGCTGCACAGACGTACATTTGCTCTAAAGTTGGTGTAAAAGCAGAAATAAATTATTTATTTCCAGCCAGTAGCTTTCCTGAACTTTGACCATTTTTACCATCTAGCGTTGCTGATTTTATGATCTGCTGACGTCGTCAATACATTTACCATTTGCTTGGCTGGTGATGTCTCCGTTTCCGTGGCAACCACTGTCTTCTCCTCCCCAACAGCTGATGTCTATAAATGATCAATGTGCCATTAGATGAAGCTCTTGTATATTACTCTGACAACACAAATCCAAACATTACAGAGAAGTTTCACATCCTGCCTGACAAGAATAAAACAATCAAGTTGTCGTATAATCTGAAAAGGTGGCACAGAGGATCAGAGAACAGTGGTCACCTTTTGAGAGGAAACACATCCGAGCGTAGACTAATGGAGCACAAGGATGGACGGACACAAGAGCAGAGAAAAAGGTAAAAACTGGACAATCAAAACCACAGTTGACAGAGAAAAAGAGGGAGGAAAAGAAAAGGTTTGCAAAGTTGAAAAGTAAAGATTGTATGGATTATCCTTATGCAGCTTATTAAACGAGCAGATTATGTGTCAAATTTAACAAATCCTAAAATCTAAAATCTGGTTTTAGATCTTCCAAACTCAAGTCTATTTATCTGCTTTTGGAAAATTTTCAAGAACAGAAAAGATACATTTCAAGTAAAACCCATACAATCGTTTTTTTCCACGACTTCTCTTAAGGTTTGCGAGGGGAAAAATAATTTTGGAGTATGAGGCTGAAAAAGCTGAAGGGGTGCCGTCCAGCCAGAGCAATGAAGTCACCACCTCCAGGAAACTGATAGAAGGAACTGAAAGGAAGGAATGGTTTAGCTGAGCATAACGACAGAAACAAACAAGAGCCCGATAAAGCTCCTATTTCTTCCTTCTGGGCTGTGGGCGTCGGCTGCTCGGGCATCAAAGGATGTTTTAGCTGTCAACAAAAAACAAACCTGTTTGTATTTAAAAAAAAAAAAAAAGCTGTGGGTTCGACTGCAACAGTACAACGGGGCTTTAGGGCCACACTAAGAAAAAAACAAAACAAAACATAAAATTATGAGAATAAAGTCGTACAAGACTTTTTTTTTCTGTTTGCAGCTCTCGTTTTTTTTGTTTTGTTTCCACGAGTCGGATTTATGATGCAACCTGTCAATCAATCAAGTAGGCGTGCCAGCTAATGACCAAGCTGAAGCTAAATGCTCCTTACCTGCAGAGAACCCATCAGAGCGTACCACCTTACTGTAAGCAGGTTCAAAGTCCTGATACTGATAATAATCTGATGCTGATGTGCTGACAGATTAACCATCTCCTGATTTGTAAAACCAGTACCAAAGTACAACTTAACAAGGTGCTCAACATTCTTTATTTTGCCACAGTTAAAATGCGGTAACCCCTGCTTTGTGGGGGCCAAGATGGTGTAGAGGCAGGGCAGCCGGCTTGGGACCCGAAAGTCCCAGGTTCGATCCCCAGTCACTGCACATCACGTGGCGTCTCTGGGCAGCACGTCTCATCCCCAAAATGCCCCCCCCGGGCGCTTTCAATAGCTGCCCACTGCACCACCTGGTGGTGGATGGGTTAAATGCAGAGACTAATTTCGCCATTGTATGGAAACATACAGTGCTGACATTGTGATGACATTATTATTATTATTATTTGTGTCCGAGTTTGAATAATATTACGACTCAATTAGCTTCGGATTGGGCATTTGCTGACACACCTACTGGACTGATTGACACGTCCCCCCCCCACACACACAAAAAAAAGAAGTCTTGAACTACTTTATTCTTGTAATATTAAGACTTTATTCTCGTAATTTTATGGCTTTAAATTTTTTTTTCTTTACGTGGCCCTAAAGCCCCATCGTACAATAGAAAGCAGCAGTTCTGACACTAAATGCTAGATGTTATAAGGGATCGTTAGCCATGCACGTGGCTCGTTTACGCTGCCGTTAGCCTGGTGTGGCTGCAGAAGGGAAGGCAATGGGGGTGGGGCAGGGGGTGCAGCCAAAACTGTTTTTAGTCGTCATACAGTACCACTGCTAAGGATGTAGCTGAAGTCTCAGAGACTGACATCTGAGTCAGGCTGGACTTTGGCTGCACAGACTGGACGTCTTCAAAGGTAAAGATTTCTGTCTTTTGCATCAGCCAAGTGTCCTCCTTTGTGGACACACTGACGAACTCCGAAACCTCCACCTTCTCCTCCTCAGAAATCCAGGAGGCCATTGCTTTCTTAGGCGAGTCAGTGCCTTTAATCTGTGTCGCGTCACCGGTTTTTATCTCCGTCTTTAGACTCAGCAGCTTGACTCCTGCGGTTTGCCCTTCTGCACCAACGCAAGTGTCTTCCTTGAAAGTTTCCGTCCCTTTCTTGTCGGTGTCTAACTCCGCTGGGACAGCAGGCTCCTCTTTTTCAACCAAGGCGCTCATCTCTTTGTCCTCAGCGTCTGGTTTATCCTCTGCCTCCTTAAAGATAATGAGTGCTCCTTTCTTGTCAGTGATGGCCTGGGACACTTCCTGTCTCACAGCTCCGGGGCTGACCTTCACCACTGACTTCTCTGATGCCTCCTCCTGGGAGTCCGGAGTTTTCTCTTCCACCTCCTCCCTCAGGGTACCGTCCATGAAGACGTCGTCATCTATAGTGGTTGACAAACTAATCCCGTGAGGCCCGGAGGAGGTGGCCCCATCTGTTATAACACTATCCGCCACGTATTTCACCAGATATGCTGCCGCCTGGGGAGACACGACTTATTGGAAAAGGACAATGGACAGAGGGCATCACACAGACAGAACATGGTGGAAACACTCATATAGACACGACAGACAGGTTGAGTCCCACAAATACGTGGATCAATTTGAACTTGGATCAGGAATTATTTAAAACTGATGCTGAGTCTATGGAACAGCAATTTATTTTAGATTTAGCTTTTATTTTGATATCAAAGTGGTGAGAAAAAAGTTAAATTAATCACAATGACAGACTTTTTTTGTTTTAGTGTACATACAGGGAGCCACTTACAGGCAGAGCTGCAAACATACCAAAGAGGAAGAGCAACACGACACCAACAAGAAATTTTCAGAATTTACAGGCATGACGAACAGCAAGCAGCTTACCACGGTGCCTTTAGGTCCCACCTCCTCTTTTGTCTCATCTCCAGTTGGCTGTTCATCTTTAGTCTGCGGAGAAAAGCAAACAGAAAGGTCATATATATTCAGAAAAGCAAACACACCTTGGCTGAAATAAACAGGTAAAACAAGAAAGTTCTGGTTCTGAAAGACGGTGTCATTTTAGAACCATCTGATGTCAGATAATCCTGTTATAAGAATATTAATCTGCTCATTAGTCCCGCATGAAGTCATTTAAGGGAGATAAAAGTGTCACCATCTATTACCATGATATTCATATCATAACCAGTTGCTGCTACAGTTAATCAAAGAAAAAAAACCCACATTAAATAAATTTATTAAATGCATTTAAAGCTGCCATTTTAGTTACCGTGTTGGCAAATTTACCATGACTCAAATTTCATTTGTGTGCCAACTCAAAATGAGTTGATAGATCAGATGAATTTCAATAAGAAGCAAATATCTTCATTTACTGCACAATTAAAACATTTGAGAAGTCGTGCCCTTTATTCTGTAATTACATAACCTGAAACCACAAACACTTTGTGGATCTGGCGGGCAAATTCAGAAAATAAAAATGAATAACTTAAATAATAAACGTAACGATACATTAAAAGTTAACTATGGAAGAGGGTTAGAGCTCTTTGGAACCTACATCCATTGCAGTCAATTTCAGGAATTTATTGTCCAGTAATAAAAGAGAAATTATTAACCTTTTAAAGCTAAATGGCATACAACTGGATGTCGATTCCAACAGAAAGGCAGAACTACCGGTAATTTTAATTTGTCAAGTTTTGAGCCAGAATTTCCAACAGTACACATGTGAAGAAAAACAAACACTGACCATTTATGAATATCATCACACCTCTAGTCAAACAATGGGAAGAAGGAGGCTCACGGGAAGAGTGTTTGGTGATTTAAACCTCTGACACTAGGGATGCACGATATTATCGACATGGTATCGTATGGGCTGATATTAGCAATAAAGTGAAATATTGGACATCGGCCATTCCATCAAAATAACTCACAGATGTAAAAGGTGCTGTTTTTGTATGACAACCCAGTGACTAGGATGCCTGCAGCGCCAGCACATTATGACGTCACACGCGCCGTTGAGATTTGTAAAAATTTACAAATTTGCACTGTTCGAGTGTTTTCTTTGTGTTAGAGAGAGTAAATCTCATGAATAAATTTGACATTAAACATAATCCAAGTTGAAGTGTTTCATCATTTTCAGCCCCATTTTTGACATCTGCATTTGATGGCAGGCCAAATTGACAAAGACCATGCAGAACAATGTAGTCTTTTAATTCCACAGCAGAAAACGCTACGTAGTCTCTAAGTAGGTCTAGAGGAGAAAATATCGTTATCGGCTAAATAAGTTTTAACATATTGGCCAAAAATCCAATATCGTGCATCCCTATTTGACACAGATACACTAATTGGTGTGTGATTGTAGATAAAACATAAAAAAAAAGAGTTCAAATGCATTAAAAAATGTGTAGAGGTGTGAACAAGAAAAATTATTTATAAGGCTTTGTAATTAATGGTAATTTAGGGGAGACCTACAAGCTCCCAATTGGTTAAATCTGAACATCCCTGACAAGAGGCTTCTAAATCAAAGATGCAAAAATGTAAAGGATCACTTAGGAAAACTTAAAAAATGCCAAAGTTGCTTTTACCATAAGTGAAACGTCCAAAAGCATTTGTAAATAACGAGAAGTATTTTGAAAAGGTTCAAGAAAAACTCAAAACTTCAAATTGTTTTTAGTAAATATGAAAGGGTCAGAGAACTACAAGTCGTGTAAAATCTTCTAAACCAGATATTTATAATTTTATAAACTTCTCCGTGGTGACGCCACCCTTCAGACAGACATGCCGTCACTCAGTCTGCAGCTTACGTCCTGCGGCTCCAGCGGCTCAATCATCGGCGCTTCATCTCCTCGGGGTGAGCGCAGCGGTGACGAGGAGAGTCTCTTCTCCCATTCTGTCTGACCAGACATACCGCCGCCGCCGCTGGTTTCCAGGAAGGAGCGCTTCAGTTCGCTGACATTTGTCTGGTGCTTGGCCACCTCAGGAGGAGGCTCTGAGTCCTACAGTGGTCGATGAACCATGACACAAGGAGGTGAACGGAAGGAGCAGTGCAGCGGGAACGACGGTCATGCTTTACGTACGAACGGTAGCTTGCATATCCAATGGGTTACAAAAAGGTTTGGAAACAAAATGTAGTTATCTGCAGTCTGTGGCGTTATTTGCTTCCCTATGTTTATTGTTGTTTAGGTGGTTCTGCAGGCTACCTGTGCAGCATCTGGCAAAAACAGCAGAAAAACCCAAATGCATGGCAGCTGATGATGCAGCTTGTACTTAAATGCTTCAGGAGCATTTAAGAGCAGCTTAATTCAATAAAAATAAATGGTTTCATGCATGAAGTCATAGATTTAGCTTTACTGGTTTGGTTAAAGCACAACACTCCCACATTTCACTAAAATCTAATGAATCCAGTTGAATTTGTTACATTTAGCTTTTAATTTATTTGAAAAGTCGCAGCAAGAACTACAGAAATTCACACGGGAAAATCCAAAAACACAGATTGAAGTTCTATCAATCAACACGGTTCTTCATACCTAATAATCACCCGCATGCATTTTTCAGACATGCACTGTTTGCTTACCAACCTCTAGCATCAGATTACTATGTCTGATAAAAACGTTTTCCCCTTTTACTCGTCTTATGAAACTATACTGCAAAGACAAGAAAAGGGGAAAAGAAATTAAATTCCAACTCTTGTCTGAAAAAAAAATTAATGGGAGTTTTGTCTTTCACAGTTCGGCTGTTAATGAGAAATGACATGATGGGAGAAAAACATTTCACACAAATTAAACAGAATGGATAAAAATACAACTTAAAAACTATAAAATCTTGGGTGTAGCTGCATGACTCCCCTATAAAAAAAATATTACACGAACAAAAAAAAAAAGCACTTTGTGGATGGATTTCAGATTTTATGGAAGCAGCAGCTCTGCAGCAACAGTCAGAGATAAAGTCAGTCTGCTGTGTTGTATGGTAGTGAGAGGGTGAACAGCAGCAGCAGCAGCAACAGCAGGAAAGCCAGAACGAAGGAATGGGACAACATTTCATAGTGCATCTAACAAAGGTACGATGCACTGAGCGGAGCCATGAAGCGACCCCGGTGTACCTGAGTCCGCATCTCAGAGTCCTCATCTGCTTCCGACTGATGGGGGGTAAAGAGGAGAGCACAGAGACAGTGAGACAAAGCAGCAAAGAGCCATTTAAGAGAAGAAATGCAGAAGGACAATAATCAGGGGAGGGGAACACAAAGCGAGCGGCAAGGAGCTGGAAATAAGGGAAGGAAGCCAACATCCCTCTACTAAACAGTATTTAGTCAATCAGACATTTGTCAGGGGAATTTAGGCAAAGGTTATGGATGTTTATCATCAACTAATGTTAAATTAATGTTGAATCACGTGTATGAGGTCAGAGTCTTGTCTGCTCAGAGAGAAGCCTGCAGGTGCACGGAGGAGCACCTGATAACTCCAAGGCCTTGTCCTCATCTGTAAGCTGGAAAGCAGAGGTCGTCTTGACCTCGCCTCTGTCTAATAAGCATACACTAGAAAACACTTCCTGCCTCACTGTCCGCTGCAGATTCTCACTGACGAGACTCTAAGCATGTAACTTTGCACATCTGTGAATAAGCCTGTCACGATAACAAATTTTGCTGTGCAATTAATCGTCTCACAAATTATTGCGATAAACGATAATATTGTTTGAAATTTGACAATAATTAGTAATTATTGTCAAATTTAAGAAGAAATGTTGGTTAATTTTTGTGTTTAATACCTTTTTTTCACCACTGGATGGCAGTAAAAGGCTGTTTGAACCCAAGGATGGATAGTGAGGGAGCGAGCAGCCTGTCTCTTTAAGAAAAATGGAAGGGAGGCCCCTTGATGTGACATGGGCTGTCTGTCGTTCCTGTTTTTCGATTCACAAAATGGTGGACGCTTGGTTTGAACTCTTTAGCATAGCATTTGTCACACAAAGTTTTCAATAATAATATATATATAAAAAAAATCAGTAAACAAGTTCTCAGCTTCTTTTTGCAGAGAAAAAACTTTTTAGACGAAGGCACAGGTTTCAACTGTGAATTTTTAGAGCTTTAACAAGGCAGAGTTTTTTTCCCCCAAGGTCGGCCTGTTAGCTTAGCTCGTAGCTTAGCTTCTCAGCTTAGCTACTTTTAACGATCCAAAAACGTGATTTTGGACGGTTAAAACAGATTTTAAAGAGAAAAGAGAACGGGAGGGGGTTAGTGAAGACCACCGGAGTTGAGCCTTTTGTCATCCAGTGTCTTCAGTAGAAAGAGAGACGAAGAAACGATAAAGCGATAAATTAAAATTATCGACCTCATTTTTATTTATCATGCGATTAATTGATTTATTGTTTATCGCGACAGGCGTATCTGTGAAAGCCTTATTGTGACCGTATATTTGCGAGTAAAAGACCGGTTATAAAAATCTTCTTGTGCCCTCAGAGTGGCTTATTTGAGCAAGCAGATTATGAAAGGATATCTAGCTTATTAACCTAAGTTTGAATTTAGACACCTGAACAAATTTAGACTTTGACTTGTTGTTCGCATTTATTGTATGTGGCTACAGCAACAATGTAAAACATGCTTTAATAGGAGACATATTTTTGTAATGTAAAAGCAGATTTAAAATGTCATCAATATATGTCTACTTTCAAACAGTGTAATAATTAGGGATGCACGATATTATGATGCCGATAATATCGTTAAATTTCAATATCGGACATCGACCATTCCATTAAAATAACTCGCCGATATAAAAGGCGCTGTTTTTGCCTGTAGCGGCAGCGCAACGTGATGACGTTACAGCGGCAGCACAACGTGATGACGTTACAGTGGCAGCGCAACGTGATGACGTCCCGTGCGCCTACCTGATCTCACAGCGGAGAGGAAAATTCAAAATGTTGGCGGTGTGGAAGTTTTATTTTTAGTTGGTGAGGATGTCGGATTCTGAAGATTTATGAACTACGTTGAGCCTCGCTACATCGTCTGCGGTCGGAGATATTTTTCCGATGTAACGTTACCCGAGTTACAAGCCGTCATTTCCGACGACATTGAGAAGCTAATAGCCGATAGCACGACTTGTTGGGTGAGTTTTACCACAGACAACAATGGACAGACAAAAACTTTGAACTTAAAGTCTGTCCTTCATGCACAGGAGTGCAGAGGACCCCACACTGCAGCTATAGGAACCTGGAACAAGCCTCCACAAGTGAGACAACATCGCAGGTGATTAATGCTAATAAATAACGTTTAACACTTTTCATTTAATATAAATTAAAGTGCTATGCATATCATATGGCTGTTACTGAATATATGTCACCAGCTTTTACAGCTGTTACACAATTTTTGTAGTAAATAAGCCTAAATAAGTGTGCTATGTTCTGACAAAGGAACGTATATCGGTATCGGCCAAATAAGTTTTAACATATCGGCCAAAAATCCAATATCGTGCATTCCTAATTAGAACCCCAACAGTGTAAAAATATTAAAGCTCTGTCCTGCTTTTTGTCTGTTCTCGTTTCAAAAGGAACAATTCCCCAGAGTCTGCAGTCAAATTTCATCCTGCAACCATTTTTGTAATAAAATAGTCGTGCACAAATGTAAAACCCTCCTATGCCAGAGGTTGTTTTTTAACAACAAAGAAACAAAATAATTAACGTGGTAATTGCCTGCTAAGATTATTTTACACATTAATCTGTGAAATTAAGGGCTTTTAGTGTGAAGACTAATTTTGTCAAAATTTAAAAAAATGAAGTTCATATTATATGAAATATTTATTGTGTTGATTGTAATAAAACTAGCAAAAAACTTTTTGAAACGGGAAGATATTGAAAAAAAAAGGTGTTTTACAGTCAAATAAATAAAAAAAACACCACAAAATAAGAACTAAACGTGCAAAACCAAATAATTTACATGCATGACATGCAGTACTTTGGATTCACACACGCTTCATAATATTTCAGTGACAATGAGCCTTTTCCATTTCTTTGTCTGAAATAATGTTTAGTTATTGATGTACAAACCTCTGTAGCAGTTATCTCTCCATCAAAGGCAAAGTCTGTTTGCTCGCTGTCAGTCTGCATTTGCAGACCAAACCAAAACAATCCGAGTTGCAAGTAAGAAAAACAAGAAGGTCCCAATATTTAAACATTAGACAAATTTAAAAAATAAAATTCTTATCAAGAATAATCATCATAACCACAAATGGGACAAATGGAGATGCTTTGACTGTTGGAACTGTAAGCTAAACACGATCAGACAACAGTACAGGTAAGATCTGAGAGACAACAGAAAGATAAAAAGCAAAGAATAAGATCAAATAAGCAAAACAGACTCAGAGGAAGTTGAAACCATCAGTCGGTCACTGACATTTAAACGGGTTTGTTATGAATTTGGAAAGGCTGCCAGATGTACATTTCTTCACATCTGCAGGACAAGCTTCGTTAAAATCTGATGATTTTTGTGGCCGAACAGTAACCTGACTTTCAGGCCCTCCCCCTCCTCTTCGTGCATGTCAACACTGTGGGTGATGTGGATGCATTTAGTCGTCAGTCTCACTGCATCACAGAGCGTTACGTCTCACACAGATCATCCAAAAGTGAGCTGCTTGGTGGAAAAATGTCTCGTCACTCCTCTCTTTTAGCAGCAATTTGATTTAAATGATTCATTTTCATTTGTGCAGCTCTGGTTGAGTCAGTCAGCAATGCAGAGAGACTGAGTGCAAAGATAAATATGGAAGAGTTTACATGCAGCTGATGTGGCTAAACCCTGTTTGAACAGTTGTAGGTAAAATATGGACATGATGGGTCAACAAGGAGATGGGTTAGGCACAAAGCCATGAATTTAGTGAAGGATTAATTTCTAAATGAAGATAGCTTTATTCTTTATTCTAGATACATTATAATAAATTATCTGTGATGCTGAAAAAATTTAATTTGACGCCCATGCTGCTAAAACCAACTATTTGTGTCTAACCCCCTCATTTGGGGTGAAAAGGCCAATCAGGCATGAAACGATGAAACTTGCAGGTTCGACTGTGACTTGTGATGATGATGAGGATGATTTCCACAAGATGAGCTTGTGACTGGGCAGAGATGAGGTTCTGAAAGTAGGAGACTGAGACACTGGGACACTGTCTCCAGGTCGTCTTTAACTGGTGAAACAGTTACAGGACAGCAAGTTAACAAGTATAATGGATCGGCTGAGCCAGAGGTGGGTACTGGAACATACAGGCGTACACACACACACCTCCTCTTCCTCTGAACTGTCATGGTCATGGTAGCTCTGGGCTATGGAGGCGGTCAGGGAGGCTGCCTTGGGCTCCAGGTAGCAGAGGCACAGCGCCAGTGGGAAGGAGAGGGTGAGGGCGTAGGGGACGGAGAAGGAAGTAGAGAGCAGGAAGAAGAAGATGAAGAGGAAGCAAGGGATGAGTGACGGTGATTTTATGGGGAGGAAGTGATGCGCGCACTCAGGGAGGAAGCGCATCTCGGACAGATCAGGGAAGGTGATGTACCCGTCCTCGTCTAGGATGGAGGACAGGTCGGGAAGGTGCAAGGAGAAAGAGAAGAGAGTGCCGCCGTGTCGCTTCCCCTGCTCCAGCCTCTGCCTGCGGGCTGACAGCAGCAGCGCCTGCTCCTTCAACAGGGCGGCTTTGTGTTCGGCGCGGGCTTGCCGCCGGCGGCAACTGGTGCCGCTCTTGACTGGGCTAACAGATGAGGCCCGCTTGCGTGCGCTCTCCCTGCGCCTGCGCCGTACTTTATTTGATGAGACGGGAGATGAGGGGAGTGAAAGCTCGTTGCGGAGGGGGTCATGTGTGTACAGATGAGGGGTGCGCTGATGGAAGGAAATGTCAACGAGGAGATGATGTGTGTGCAAATGGAGAGAAGCGAAGGGGAAGAAGGGGAGAATGCATGAGCACACACGAGTAAAGTGTGGGGTCGATGGAAGGACAAGAAAAGAAAAGCTGATTAGTAAAGCGAACACAAGATGAGAAGCACAAAGGCCTGTCTACTGCAGCGACTGGGAAATTCACATCAGCCATAAAGAGGTTTAATAAGAAAACAAAAAACAAAAATAAATAAATGCTTAAAAAGGCAACCATAGCACCTTCATCTGACTCTTTCACTTGACAACTGAACGAAAACCAAGAGTCAAAATGGGATTATTTCAAATGTCTGCATTGAAGAGGTGGGCCAGCAGTTTACCTTTGTGTCATGTCTGAGTGGTGTTGTGGGAGCAGGTTCTGGTGTCTCCTCCTGCTCCGCCTTCTCCTCCTCTGCCTTTCTCTCTGTCGTTACCGTGGTGATGATGTCCTCTTTGGCAATGACTTTCTGTGCCCCGTCAACGCTGCCGTCCTTGGCAGGAGTCTCGTGGTTCTCCATTATAGGAGCTGAAACACCAGAAGACAAAGACGAACGAGGCGGACCTTATTTTGTGACATTTTATAAACACCATATGTTTGTTTTGAATTTCTGTGAAAAAGGAGAGCAGCCGAATAAAAGGGTTTGATTAATTTTTGAACACGGTTGTTATGATAGCCATTGTGGCTTTGTCAGCGTTTACAAGAAAAACAAACATACAAACAAACAAAAAAACTAATTTGCATTTTCAACAAAGGATTTTACAAACAAACAAAATCGTGAAGAGTTTAATAGCTTAGATGGTGCTTAGCCACCCAAGCCAGTCAAGGCAGATGGCCGCCCATGAAGAGCCTGGTTCTGATTTCTTCCTGTTAGACGGGAGTCATTCCTTTCCACTGTCACCAATGTGCTTGTTTAGGAAGTGAGATTGCGACAAAGTGAAGATTCAACACAATTGGCTGGCTTCCTCAGAAAGACAACTTTTCATAAAGGGCATTTTACGTTTTTGTACAGTGCCCTGAGATGATTTTAGTTGTGAATTATGGTGCTTTGCCTCTGTCTCAACTCTCATGGGCTCTGCACCACACCACACCAGTTAAGGGCCTGCCCGCTGCCGGTACCCACCTCCACTCAGCCAGGTTTATGGGATCATCTTGCTTGAGGTTTCAAACGAACTGCTCTGAGGTAACGATTTTGACGTAGGCAGAGAGCAGCTGTTGACTGGCCAGCGAAGCTACGTCACTGGATGACCCGCCCAGCAAAACTGCAAACTACATCTGAACCTCCACTTTCTCACCGTGTTGACAGATGGCAACACAAGAAACGAGCGCATTTACAGAGAGATATCGGAGATGATAGTGCAACATGAATACACACGGACTTATAAACAGTGCTGGGATAAGCTAAAGAAATTGAAGTTCGATTACAGGGCGAGTAAGGACCACAGCGGGCGGAGTGGCTCGAACACAATGATCAGTTACGATCCCGCCCACTTTGCACTGACCCCCACAGAGCGGGTAAACAAGTCAGTGACAAATCTTTAGGTTACTGTTGTAATCCTGGGTCTCTGAGTAGCAAAGCGCCCAGCGACCGAGCTTGCGCACGAGTTTATGGACAGTTTAGATAAGCCCCGAGAGTGACACAGTACCTCGAGCTAGGGGGAGGGCTCCTGCCCTCCTTGACACCGACAAGCTTACTTTCAGCCAATCCTGGCTGGTGTAGCGTAATAGGAGCTTCTGATGAGGTTACACCGAGGGAGTTTCCAATGTGAGACACAAAATGAATGCTATGAAAGAGAACACCTACACCTGAGAAGCACTGATAAGTCGAGAGCTGAGTGGAGTCGCACTTACCAATGGCAAAGTGGCTTTTGTGCTATGTATATAAACTGAAGTGAACTGATTTGTGCAGCACGGTGGTGCAGTTGGTAGCGCTGCCGCCTCTCAGCAAGCAGGTCGCCGCAGTTCAAATCCCGGCCGGGGGCCTTTCTGGGTGGAGTTTGCATGTTCTCTCCGTGCATGCGTGGGTTTTCTCCGGGTACTCCGGTTTCCTCCCACAGACCAAAAACATGCATGTTAGGCTGATTGGTAACTCTAAATTGTCCCTAGGTGTGAGTGAGAGAGTGAATGGTTGTTCGTCTCGTTTGTCTCTATGTGGCCCTGTGATGGACTTGCGACCCGTCCAGGGTGTACCCCGCCCCTCGCACAGTGACTGCTGGACATGGGCACCAGCGACCCCCGTGACCCAAAATGGAATAAACGGGTAAAGAAAATGGATGGATGGTTTCTTACCCCCATCTAAGCTGCGGGACATGTTGTAGCGTTTGCTGGAGGAGCGCTCGAAAAGCGGGGCCGGCCTGGCGATCTGAGCGCTGGCGCTACGAGTCTGAGCCTGTGTTCTGCCGCTGTAACGAAACTTGGAGCCAAGGCTGAGGAACTTTTTGGGGGGAGCCTCTGGAGACACGAGCCTGTAACAAGTTACAAACATGCTCATTAAACAAACTAGGAATAAAACCAAAGCTAAGTCAAGCACTAAACCTCCTACTCGTCTGAATCGTCTTCAGGGAGACCCAAGACTGGATTTGCTACTCAAAATGACTCAAAAGACCAATTTTTGCTTAAAGCAGCAACTCTGTGATGTACATACTACTACTAACAGCCTTAACACTGCCCCCGTTTCCCAGAAAGAAAAAAAAAACAAGTACAGTAGTGAACTGCAACGCTGGCATGACTGCATAATTGCATAATGCCAAAGAAGTACCATGGGGATGATTTGACTTTGCTGAATCTGTCATTTTATTATAATTAAAACATAGTATGCATTTTATGTAATTAACCTTCCCCAGTCAGAAATAAAAGTAATCTTAAATCTTTTTACCTGAAGAAGGTGTGGTGCTCCACGCAGACCTTCCATAGTCTTTTGGCAGCGCGATGGTTTGGGAGTTTGAAACCAATCGTACTTTCAAACTGCTCAAACTGCAACACAAAGATAATGCTGAGTTTCATCCATCTTTTTATTTTAACCCTTTAATATACAGAAATTATTCTAGCACTATCAATTTTTAAACAATCTGCGTTGCGGTGCTCTGCTATTTTTGCCTTAGATCTTAACATAAATCATTCATCCATCTCCAAATTCAGTGTTCCAGTTCAATATTTAATCTTTCTTACATAAAAAGCTGCCCACTCTGCAGAGCAAACCCAGATGAAAGATGGATTTGACAGCCAAATAGTGCTGAATAATAAACTGCAGTTCAGTCAAAGATATATTCTTGTGTTATTATTGGAGTGTAACTTCGGGAGTCTGATCATTTTTTTCATCTCGACATGAAAAAGAACAAAAGTTAAGATCCAGTGTTCAATGTTTAGAGTCAGCATGAACCAGTTATGTACTTGGAACAAAATGTAGTGGATTTTATTTGAAAATAACGCTGACTGTGCTGTTGTTGCATGTTGTTTCAAGAAAGAATAAAAAAAAATAATAATAATAATCTTACAAACAAACTTTCTGTCAGATGAAACACACAAGTGCTTTTCATTTGAAGAGGTGACATCACTGATGTGGTGTTAACAGTGGAATCAAATATTTCCAACAAAAATATATTTATCAAAAATACAAAATGATACACTGAATTATGACAAACTGTACAAAACAAAAAGAATAATGAAAACATCCGCCTTCAAAACAAGCATTTTTTAAATAAAAAAACAGCTTTCTGCAGCTGAATACAAATAAAATCCCTGATCTGTATGAGCACAACTAGGGATGCACGATATTATCGGCATGGTATCGGTATCTGCCAATATTAGCGATAAAGTTAAATATCGGCCATACCATCAAAACAACTCACAGATATAAAAGGCTTCTGTTTTAAGTAAATTTGTCATTAAAGAAACTGTCAAGTGCATCTATTAATGCACTAGGACTTAAGCACTTTTCACTTGTCGCTGCACTTGCACTCATCGAGTGTCTTAACGTTTGTGTTAAGAGTAAATGTCATGAATAAATTTGACACTAAACATAATCCAAGTTGAAGTGTTTCATCATTTTCAGCCCCTCTTTTGGCATCTGCATTTGGTAGCAGGCCAAATTGACCAAGACCATGCAGAATAATGCACTATTTTAATTCCACAGCAGAGAAAGCTATGTAGTCTCTGTAAGTAGGTCTAGGGAAAAATCAGCCAAATAAGTTTTAACATATAGGAATATCGGAAAAAAAATCCAATGTCGTGCATCCTTAATCACAACAAATATAACATGACTGTTACTGTCCTTACCTCACCAGGACGGATTTTGATATAAAAGTTGTTCCTCTTGTAGGAGATTTTGAGGATTTTGGGCCAGGCAAATCTGTTAATCCGCAACCGGTCTCTATAGATGAGGAGGCCACTTGCACAAACTCCTAGCATTATCTCCACAGCCTCAGAGTCCTGAAAACAACACACAGCAAGAAATGACAAGAAATTAACTTTATTTCCTCACAACTTAAAAAACTTTAAACTAATTAAAAAAAAAAAAAATCACAAACTACAACGCCATTCTTATTTTCTTTAATCTAAAATGCACAAACTTGGATAAACTCTTCGGTTTCTACAGGAGGTGGTCAGGCACAGCAGAACAAAGTAGAAATTCAAATAAAGTTTTGTGATGATAACACAAGCGAGCAGGCAGAAAGACAATGAAATCTCTAATCTCCTCGATGCACACAGTGGTGATGCTGATTAATCACTGAGAGGAGTGTCATTTGACAAAAGCAACAGTGAAGTTTAGGGAAAATTATGCTCTTCACTGCACAAAGCGTGAAATGACCGGGTGAAACCAAAGCACTGGTTCAAAGCAGAAAAACAGTCCGAAGCGATAAATGGGATGTTGAAAATGACAACACTATTTTTAACCATGCACATGTAGAAAAAACACTCACTGAGGTGATGTAAAGCACATGGAAAGCAGCCTCTTACCTCTCCCTCAGCTGGAGCCAAGCTTTCATAGAGATTCCCTACCAACTTTTGCATTTAATGAGAGAGGAGAGAAGACAAAAGAGGATGCTCTTCTGATATGTACATATTTTCTTGTGTACCAAAACTATGACTCACAGAAGCAACATTGTGCATCGATGCCTATTCAGTTTGATCAAAGCTGCTTCCTCATCTCTGTCATCTCTTCTATTCAGATCTGGGAGGGCAATATCCTCCCCATCGCTCACATCTAGGCTCGTTTTGACTTTCAAAGCACTTTTGATAAGCGATTTTTATCAGAGACTGATGAGCGTAATTTTCTTTTTTTATGGTGACGGCTCTCTGGCTCTCTCTTTCCTGCCAGTACCCTGATGGCGCGTATGATGCCGATGGAACAAAACCCAACCAACAAGTCAAGCTGGGCTCCAGATCTACAAACCCACAGAGACGGCGATGAAAAGATGCAGCGGAGCAGCATGTTAAACCGAGGCATCACTGAGCAGCCATGATGTTTGTGAAGTGGCGGTATTTGGTGGGAAGCAACTGCATGAGTGAAATATGTTTAAGATCTCATACAGAAGATGCAAAAAGTACCCATTTTATAATTTGCATGACTGTTAAAATAAATATTTTGGCACAAAGACAAAATTAAGTAAACAGACAATGCATTATTTAATAAATTGTATATTTTGGGATGCAATGCATCAATAACACAACCTCTAGCAAAATGGTTTCCAATTTTGAGTTCTTCTTCAAAAGCTCACAGATCATGAGCAGGCTCTTCACTGCACAGTCTGACACAATTTTACAATAAAGTTTTTACAAAACTTTAACAGTTATTGCTCTATCGATGCGTAAGGGTAAAATGTTAAAATATCTGTTACACTGGATTTATATCTACATATTTTACAAAATGAAAGGAAATAAAATATTTTTTGGGAAAGTGCATTTACGAGTCTGTACAGGCAGCTGGCATGTTCTGCAAACAAAACAGCATAACTCCGTTTTTTTTTACTTTCTCTAATGAAAACAAGCATATGCAAGTTCCTGAATCAAACATTATTTTGTGCAAAGATGCTCTTCATGCACAGTTTTAGTACAAAGATGAACAACTTGAAACAGGCTACAATAATGACCAAGAAAGATGAGGCAGAGTGGTAGTGCTGTGCGTGCATCTTCACATTCATTTGCTCAACACATCAGCATGCTTTGTGAGGAAATTAAGCGTTCTGCCAAAATCGTTCCCGGGTTTGAGGATGTGGAGTGCTCCAACTGTGATTTAGTGCTAAAAAGAAAATGTTTCCCTGATAACCCAAAGGCTTGTTTTATCAAAAACAACAAAAAAATTCTTATAACAATTGACTAAAACTCACTGTCTCAGGTTCTCCTCCTTTAAATACTACCTACCTTTCAGAAATCTCTCCACCTTGAAACATGAAAAAACTGTAAGAAAAAAATCTAATTTTCTGTCGTGTTTGAAGCTAAAAGTGGCAATTAGTTTGTTATGAAGGAAAAATTAGATAAACAAAACATTGTGAGTAAGGTTTTGGAGATTTTTCTGTATTCTGTAACAATGATGGGCCGGCAGGGCCTGCAAAGCCTTTTCTGCTGGCCTAAACACAATCACAATCACTAACTTACATTTTCAGTATATTATTTCTGTTTATTAATATTATTCTGAAACGACTTCATTTCATAGCTTTTTTCACAGTTATGCAGCTTCTAGTAGCACAAGTTTATATCGGGCTCTTATCCAATCATATTTCGACTATAATCATGATGGTATTAAGAGAAAAAACGTAGGGAGGACACCACTGAAGGCCTAGCCCATCACTGGTGTGTACTCATACAGGGGTTGGGGGAGGTCACATAGATTTTGTAAATTAAGTAATCAATCAATACATATATTTAGTTTTTCTGAAAATACATTTTTATTATTGTATGTCTGAGATGTTGCTCTTTGTGTGTATATCTATGGTTCTCAGTCATTCAGGCTAAATCTGCAGAAATGTCATATATAGTCCAGAGATGCAGCAGAATGTGTGCAGAGATGTGGTTGTGTTAATTTGTGCTTCAAACAGGAATGGCTATGAAACATTCACTAGCTGGATTTGCTTCTTTATATTTCACTTGTTGTTTTACTATTGTGCAGCCCACAGCTGCAGAAAAAGCTTCCTCCTGCAGCTGATCAGCTGTTCGTGCACAGCGGAGAAGTGGGCGTGGCCAAGAACGCTTGCAAGTGGCTAAGAGCAGACAGGCAGGGAGCTGAAATCATGACATTCTGTGCTCTTTTAGAGCTTTAGAGTTTAGAAACATTGTTTAGAAAATTGCAAGAGTGTGGGAAGGGTTTATACACACACACAATATATATTATATATATATATATATATATATATATATATATATATATATATATCCTACTTCGCGGTTTTTCACTTAAGCCACGTGATAAACGAGGGATTACTGTATTTGCAAAATAATAGCAATAAGGTAATTTGTTAAGTTCCTAAAACATGTTGAAATTAATTTCCTACTGACAAACTTTGAACTCCCCTGTGCAAAAATCAGACTTTTCTAGTCAAGTCAAAATTTTAATTAGTGATTCATGTTCAGTTTTTTGTTCTGTGAATGTAATAAAATTAATTTCATTTTGATCGATTCTGGCAAAACTTTAAAGTTAAACTTACAATTGGAGAAGCTGCTCTGTTACATGTTTGTTAACTTAAAAAAACAAAAACATGTCAGCTTTTTGGAACATAAATTAATTCATCCTCACATTTCTTGGTTGTATATGCTAATGAAGCTTTAGTTACCAAGCAGGCAGAGTAATTTGTAATTTGTCTGTTTTTAACGAAGACATAGTAATTCTTAAAACTGACTTTCTTAAAATGTAGTTTTAGGAAAGTTTTAGTAAACAATTATATTTCAGGAAGAAGTTGTGGACGTTTTTCATCACCTAGCCTGGGTGTAGTGCAAACAAATATAACTTATTAAAATAAACTTTTTAAGAAATGTATGCAACATTAACAAGTTGTAATCAGTTTGTTACCTTAGCGTGATGAAGGTCAACGCCATACATGGATAGCTTTTTGGCATTTTCCAGGAAATGCATCTCTGCTTCAGCTGGTGTCATCCCCCTAAATCATAATTCAGACACAAACAGATACTTTCATTTAAAATTTCCCAACAAAGTCTACTTGCAAATAAAAAAAATAAATAATAAAATAAAAATCCAGATTTTATGTACACAGATGGTTCTCTGGAATAACAGAACCATCTTTGGGGGCTTTTAGCTGAAGCTCCACTGGGTACCACAAGTGCACCTGTTTTTAAAACAGATTGTCGTCAAAGAGATTTATATCTGTACACCTTCAATCTTCTGGACCAAACAGAACAAATTACACATTCTGATCCAGGAAAAACAGAGGGCTCAAATAAAAATCAGACATGCTGGGTATATAAACAGAAACAACCTTTTAAAGCAGATTAATAATCCACGTTTTAAACATGCACCAGTTAGACACGATGAACTGAAACTGTTCAATCGTAATTCGACGTCTGAAACACAAACTACAGCTGCAAAACCCCAACTTGACATTTTCTTCCGCTAAACTATTTTAGGACGTTTTCCATGATCTGGTTTAATCAGCGGAACCAGTATCACATCTGTGATTACATCAGCACCAACAAATGTTGCATAAACCTCCTTAAATCCCTTTAATTTCTATATCAGGGACAGAAACCAAGCGTTCAGTTACCATTTTGTTTTAAGCACAAAATGAAAACTGAATGGGTAACCCCCAATCTTCAGTTCCACAACTGCATTCTCGATCTAACGAACACTAACTTGTATGTCTTGTGGAGCTCCATGACCTTCTCCTCAAGTTCTTTGGTCTGGTTGGGTGCGAGGCGCAGTTCGCTGATGTAATCGCTGCCCATTTCTTCAGGATCGTAGTCTCCGAGTTCTGACTGCACCGTGTACGAGCCCAGCAGCGTGTGGGTGGCGAACGAGCAAGGCAGGCGACCCGAAACTATATCATCTCTTAGCTGCAAGCACAGGTAGTACCTGCAGGAAGGAGGAAACAGAAGTTATCAAGTCTATGGTGAAAATTTTCTTTATGGGGCTTTAAAGGTTTTAGGGTCTTCATATTCTTTCTTGTCTATTTATTCCCAAATTTACTTTCATATTAGCTCAAAAGATGCCAAATAAAAGACTTAAATATATTCCGATATCCCTGCTTGATTGTTATTATCATAACTCCTACATAAAATGGCAAAAAATAATTAAAATCAAGATTTGAGTGCAGGTGTTACAATTTAACTGCACCAGGGTTCATGTTTTACGCAAACATTCTTTAAGTACTTGGGCAAAAATCTGCAAACAAACACATAAATATACTTCGACTCACCTCGTGATGTCTTCAGTCAACTGTGAGGGGTCTGGGGGGTAAAACTTCACATTGAAAGAGAAGTTCCAGGGACCAGCTGAAATTTAAAAACAAAGTGAATTTACTGCAATGTTGATTTTCGCTACTATTACTACGGCTGTTTACTTGAATTATTGCACTTACTTCTGATCTGCTTCTTCATCTCTTTGGTCGGGTCCAACCAATTCTGCACAAACAATCAAGACAAGAAACTGTCCTTGTCAATTTAAGAGCAAATCACTAAGAAGAACATTTATTTAGAGAGTTGTCTTTACAAGGTATTAAATGCCAGACAATTAGTTAAATATAGCTTTAAATAATGGGTGGTTAGGGTTAGTAGCATCACCTAAAAAGTATTGCATATGGCACATTATATGCCTGTTGACAAACTATTGTAGAGGCAATATTGTTCTTTGACTGATCCGGTGTGGGAGGGGATGATTTTATGGTTTTATGTTGTTCTATGTAAAAAAAATAAATAAATAAATAAAAACAATAACAATACTTACACCCCCCCCCCAAAAAAAAAAAAAAACAAAAAAAAACAAAAAAACAACAACAACTATTATACAGGCATACAAGAATCTATAGAAATGGGCCAGAGTAGCAAAGACCATGCCTAACATTTGACCTTGATTTGTGACCTTGACATTATAGTCTTAGACAGGTAGTTGTGGCACAAATGTGCATTAAGTTTTATTAAACTTATCTTGGCAAATCAGAGGTTACAGACTGGACAAGTAGGCCTGTCACAATAACAAATGTTGCTGGGCGATTAATTGTCTCAGAAATTATTGTGATAAACGATAATATTGTTTGAAATTTTACAATAATTAGTAATTATTTTGACCACTTTTGAAGTTGTTTTGACCACTGGATGACAGTATAAGACTGTCTGAACCGAAGTATGGATAGTGAGGGAGCAAACAGCGTGTCTCTTTAAGAAAAATGGGAGGAAGGCCCCTTGACGTGACATGGGCCGTCTCTCCTTCCTTTATTCGGTTCTAAAAATGGCGGACGCTCGGTGTGGTTTGAGCTCCTTAGCATAGCATTTGTCACAGAGCTTTTAATAAAAAAATTTGTAAACCAGTTCTCAGCTTCTTTTTGTAGAGGAAAAACAAATTTTTACACAAAAGCACGTGTTTCAACTGTGAATTTTGGAGCTTTGACAAGACAGAGTTTTTTTCCCCGAGGTCGACCTGTTAACTTGTAGCTTAGCTTCTCAGCTTAGCTGCTTTTAACAATCTAAAAACGCGATTTTTGGATGGTTAAAACAGATTTTAAAGAGAAAAGAGAAAGGGAGGAGTCAATGAAGAGCACTGGAGTTGAGCCTTTTGACATCCAGTGTCCAGTAGAAAGAGAGAGACATGAAGAAACAATAAAGCCGATAAATGAAAATGAGGTTGATAATTTTCATTTATCATGCGATTAGTTGATTTATCATTTATCGCGACAGGCCTATGGACAAGCAAAAACAATGGTTTAACATTGACCTTGATTTCTGACAGACCTTGAAACTGGGGTGATGAAGTGTACACGACACTCTGTCTGGTCAATATTAATGTAATTTCACCTAAAAGCAAGTACCCGTATATTAAAGTGAACATTTTCTTTTCTTTACCTTTTGATTCTCTACGTCTCGGTACGTGATGCCAAAGTAGTCCTTCTCCAGTAGGTTTAGGTGGTCACACACTTTGTCAAAAAACACTTGGCCTTTGGCTCGTTTCTGTGAGATGACAAAAAGAAAAATTGTATTAAGCTCAGAAAAATACATCAGTCTTAATAACCATCAGTTTCATTTCAGCAAGTCTGTGTTCACTGCTCTGCAGCTCTTTGGAAAACTACACAAATCTTGAAACAATGGAATAACTTGTTGGCTGAGTTTGTCAACAATCCATCCATTTTCACATTAAAATGTTTTTTTTTTTGTTTTTGTTAAAGAATATGTGTATATAAACACAAAGGACAAATGTTGCGCACACACTTTGCAATTTTAGAAAGTCAATGCCCTGTACTCAGGTTAAAGAAAAAGTTTTATTAATATGTGAACCAGGTCCCAAAAAGCCACTTCTCTATGGTAGGTCTTGAAAACATTTCTAATATATATATATATATAAAAAAATCAATATCTAAATTTAGTAAAATCATGTTGAATCATTTAAACACATACATATTTTTATTTTACACATAAGAACACTTTTCTTTGTTATTTGGATGAAGAAATGTGCAGTCAGTGCACCTTTAATACGAAACAAAACAGCACAACACAACAGCTGTGAAATTCTGAGGCATCATGGGATTGCCAGCCTCCCTCTTGTTCCCTTTACCTAGTTATCTTGAGATAATACAATTAAAATGAAATCAAAACTGATTTTAGCAAAGTAGTGACAGAAAATCCAATTATCATGGACAAAAAAACCAGCAGTGCAATATGTTGCCTTTTCTGCAAAAAATAATTCTCAAGTTATTTGAGCCACAATCGATCAAACCTTGATCGATTTTCCCCATTTTGAACCTTTGAGAATAAAAACACAACAAAACTATTTTTGAACTCAAGGGAAGCATTTGCAACACGAATGCTGCATCAATTGATTGCACATCTGAGCAGTGGACGTCTCGAGCTCGAGCTGGCAACCCACATGATAAAACATGACTTCACGGATTTGTTTGGCTCGGCTCAGATGGAGTATTTTAAGGCTCGAGTTGGCACAAACACCAGGGCCAGCTCCTCACATCTGAACAGGGTGAATCCACTGCTGTGGATCATCTAAGCAGGAGTCACAACATGTTAATGCATTCGTCTCACACTTACATGCAGCCAAAACCAGCACACAGATGCTCTGCACGTTCAGTCAGGACGAAACCGGCAGTCAGAGGAAGCAATATGGTCTCACAGATTTATAGGCATTCGCACTTGAGTGATAAAACTTATTAATGTACGAGAGGATTTTAATGCAGCCATAAAGCTGCTGGTTGCTGGGAATTAATCCTGCTAGAGCATCTCTGAGTGAGTTTGCAGAGTCATGTCAGAGTGATGCTGCCTCAGTGCATCACCTAAAACTGGCTTTACTGACACACACAAAATCCAGCAAGTGAAATAGATAAAAGAAGGACGCACAGCCGGGGTAAATAGGGAGGAAACTGATCACACATGCATGCCTTCACCAGGATTGTTTAGAAGGAAAATAACAGTAAACTGGAAGGTAAACTGATCTCAAGTCAGCAGAGGAACATCGATTATAATCAATTTTCTCTAAATTTGGAAAGTAAACAAGAGCTGTTGCAACACAGTCTCAGGACTCGCAGTAATCCTATTAGAAAACTGATACTTATACTGTCAAACATGTTATTTACCTGAGCAGTATTTTCTTAATTTTACCCACAGGAAGATAATAAATATATTTTCATCAAAGTCCCAGATGACTTAAAAACTAAAAGTATATAGTTTACAAAACCTTAAAACTGAGAAAGTATCGATCAAGTCACTGTCGATCACTGTTTAATGCTTTAGTTCTAGGATAAACAGTGATCCAGTGAAATGTGGGGTTTTATTTATTTTTCCTCTAATAAAACTTTAGAGTCCCAGGAGTGAAGTCAGGGGAGGGTCAGCAGCTTTGTGTCACAGAAAATAAAAGAAAACCAAAATCACGGACTGGTTCCCACAGGAAGGCACCGAGGTGAGAAACTACAAAGTCAGGAGGATAACAAGTGTCAAGTCTTCGCTTCATGGACTATTCAGATGGGCGATTGGGTGGAGGAGGAGATCTCCCACACAAATATCTGAGATTTTAACCTCAAATGTCTTAATATGTAACAATCCATCTCATATCTGCTGTGTTTTGTTGGCTTTATAAGTAGGCATGTACAAAAAAAAAGTTAAGAAATTATAAATAAAACAATGACAAAAACTCATGACTTTGGGCAATTTCCATTTTGATGGTTGACAATTGTTTTAATAACGGATGATGAAATCTTCCCAGTTTCTGCAATTTCTACTCTTCAGCCTCAGTCTACCTTTTCCTTTTACTCTTGTCCTTTTTAATGCGCTCTGATTCAAGGTCACCTCTAAGTAGTCTTTACATAATGAGTGTTGGTAATATCTCACTGCAAAGTGGGGGTGTGACACGTGTCAGGAAAGCCTGGACTCAGGGTTGTGGAGTTAGAGGATGAGGAACAGATGGGACATTGTGGATGCATTTTGAATTTGTCATTAGCTTTAAAAACACACAAACTATGAGGTTTATTAATTAAATGCATCTGAATGTGACCAAAATACTTATTTTAGAATAAAATCACAAGATTTACTGTTTTATTGACAAGATACACCAGGAAGGAAGCTTTAAATCCAATAAAAGTTTGGTTTTTGCTCATGTAACATATTTAAATAACATTGATTTTAAGTCTGACCAGTGTAAATGGAGTATCACATTCTTCGGCCTATAAGTCGCAGTTTTTTGTATAATTTCCATGCACTGTGGCTTATACACTGAAGTATTTATGTCCACCCACCCCCCAATATTCATAAACCAGTTTTTGGCTGAGACCTGACCGTTTTCATTCATTCTGACATTGAAAATATTGAATACTACCATTTTCAGCTGCTAGATGGCACTCGAGCAGTATGGCATGCCTATGTGTCATGTAATAGGTAAAAGTGGCTATTATTGACACAATCGGCTTGCCATTGTCTGCCACCTTCATCCAGCTCTGGGATCATGCCTGGAGCAACCGTCAAACCAGCTTCATTTCGCTGCGCCGCCCCAGCGAAATGAAGCTGGTTTGACCATTGAAGTGCATTTATCAAGTAAAAGTTCACCTGAGACACACCTTTAATATAATGTTGAGCAAACAAATAATTGTTTTAGGTGATTAACTTGTTAAATTTCTAAGAAATGCACAGCGATCCTCCTTCCCGATTTCCTCCCTCTGCGCGCTCCCGGAACACTGATAAGTTTAAGTGTTGATCTTGTTAAATTCTTGTTCAAGTCCTCCCGTGCACGCTCCCGCGGCAGCCAATCAATTTTTGGCACAACATCGGACCACATTTCTGTGTTGTCAGCGGTGACGCGTAACAAACGCGATGCGTCAGTGGTGATGCATGATAGATGCGACTTATACGGCGAAGCGACGCATTTGTTTATTGTTCCACTTCATTAGACATATTCGGACTGATGAGACTTATAAGGCGGCGCGACGTGTACGGCGGAAAATACGGTAAATATGATCCTATCACAGCAAAAATCTATTAAAAAAACCATCAGAACCATTTCCAGATTACAGCACTAAAAAGGACATTTGACACTGACTTACAAATGTTCCTGTTTTATTAAAGTTCAGCCTCTTGTCACCACTACCAGAACAGCCAGATAATCCCACCATACCATCCCCTGCTGAGGAGAAATCTGCTCGAAAAAGATCTTAAATAATAAATCTTTAACGTTTAATCACTTAAAAAGCCTCAAAATGCATTATATAAAAGTCAAATAAGTTCAGGAATGTGATTTATTTCCAAAACAGTGTCGACTGAGGGGAAGGAACAATTGAAGGAAAAACAAAATTACTGTTTTAGAGGCTCCAACACTCACATTTACAACAATAAGCCATTTTTCTTCTGAGCTCAACTTAGCAACATTGCTTCTACATATTGGACACTTAATAACTCATTATCAGGGTAGTTATTAAACTCAAGGGCGCACAGCTCTGGGAAAATAACTTACATTGCAAAACAATTTGTGTGAGAGATGCCTTTTTGTTTCAAGCTTAATGAACTTTGAAACAAAAAAACTGCTACATGAGATTTTCCCCTCATCACTCAGAGAAAATTACAAAAAGCGATTTAACTATACAAATGTAAACGTCCTAAACTGTGAAAATCACAATGGTTAAATTTATTGGGTGAAACATTTTTCCCAGAGGTAGTGTGTTTCAAAGTTTCTGCAAAAAGTGTCTGGTAGAAGACGAGCAAAGAAGGAACAGATTTTTAAAATCTTTTTTTTTTTTAACTCAATAAATCCATATTTATTCTCACACTTCAATAAGTAAACTAAGGTGCAACATTGACAAAAAACAACATGTTTGTTTGTTTAAAGGCTTAAAATGCTTAAACAAGCAACTGTAAAAACAAACAAACAAAATTGCACACATCAATTTGAAAAAAAGAAAAAATAAGTGGTTTTAGTTTACCGGATATGTTAAAAACAAACAAATTCTAAATAATTAGTAAACAATAATTTACTTGAGTTTTAACTTTATGTGAATAGTACAAAATTTTAAGTCTTAGCTGAGAACTAGGGTAAGAGAAACATTTGAATTTAAAAGAAATTTATACAAATAATTTATAACAAACGTTTAAAATCGAGCTGGAATACTAAATTATTGCAGCTTCAGACCTCCAGTTAACCTCCAGACATTTAAAATGTATTTCATTTCATGTAAAGTTCTTTTTTCAGTTCTCAACATTAATGCACACAGAACATGAACAATAAATTAATTTTCTGTTAATCTTATAAAATGTATAACACCTCTCTGTATCACGTTACATTTTAAACTGAAACAAAAACCATTAGCTGTGAATCGAGTTATTAACTCAAATGTCAAAAGCCAAACGGTTTAATTACTTTGAGCTTCCATGTCCTAAAATTAGAAATATTTATATTTAACATTTAAAAAAAAAAATCATATTTCCCTTTTCTGCTGTTTATAAAGTGCTTAGCTAAGAGTTTAGTCACATTTCAAAGTAATCCATTTTAGACTGATCCACAAATATCACAAACTCAAATTGTCTTGTTTTTAAATCGCCTTTTCGACGAGACACTCTTAAAATGATACTGATTAAAACCATAATGACCATTACGTGGCAGTAAAGTGCGGCGACTCACCTCCACATTGACAGTGAAGTCGGAGCCGTCCAGCAGAGTGACCTTACACTGCATGATCTTCACCTTCTTTACTCCTCTCAAAGGAGATTTTGACAGACGGCTGGTGGACGACCTGCGGGACTCCTGATCTTCCTGCTGTGCCCCCAAAAATAACAAAAAACAAATAAAACTGTAATGAGACAAACACATTTAACTGTTTAATAATCGTTTCCCCACATTTATGGGCTGCTTATGTGACATGTGACAAGTATTGCTCCCGTCCTATGTGTTGTTTTTATCTCCGGAAAAAATTATCACTTTATTGATTAAAGAACAATCAGGAAGCCTAAAAGATTCAGTCCTCGAGCAAGAAGGCTGCTAAATTCACAATATTGTTCACATGGACACGAAAAAAACACGCTTGGTTTATTATACCAATTACATCAGAAATGAAAAATAAAACTATATACTTGAAGTTGGCAGTAACTCCTTTGATAGATGTTTGAAACTTGCGGGATTCTCTCAGAACGCAAATTAAGGAAATCTGCTTTTATAAAGTGAAACAATTTTAAATAAAACTTCAGATTCAGATTATCTTTATTGCCATTCAACGTAACATCAGGGATGCACTGCAGAATGAAATTACGTTGCATATTTGGTCACAAACATGAACCAGCTGGAAAAACTACACTGCCTGGCCAAAAAAAATGTTGCCACCAAAAGAAAAGGTCACACACTAATATTTCGTTGGACCGCCTTCAGCTTTGATCACGTCATGCGTTCACTGTGGCGTTGTTTCGATAAACTTCTGCAACGTCACAAGATCTATTTCATCCAGTGTTGCATTAATTTTTCACCAAGATCTTGCACTGATGACTAGACACTAGGCACGATGGGTGCATCACTTCACCTGCCTCTATTCTTACCCTGATGCCCCCATCACTCTGGAACGGGGTAAATCTGGACTCATCAGATCACATGACCTCCTTCCGTTGCTCCAGAGTCCAATCTTTATGCTCCCTAGCAAACTGAAGCCTTTTTTCCAGTTAGCCTCACTGATTAGTGGTTTTCTGAAGCCTACACAGCTGTTCAGTCCCAATCCCTTGAGTTCCCTTCACATTGTGCGTGTGGAAATGCTCTTACTTTCACTATTAATCATAGCCCTGAGTGCTACTGTTGTTTTTCTTCCATTTGATTTCACCAAACATTTTAAATGATCGCTGATCACGATCATTCAGGATTTTTTTCCGGCCACATTTCTTCCTCGAAGACGATGGGTCCCCACTATCCTTCCAGTGTTTTAATAATGCGTTGGACAGTTCTTAACCCAATTTTAGTAGTTTCTGCAATCTCCTTAGACGTTTTCTCTGCTTGATGCCAGTGATTTGACCCTTCTCAAACAGACTGACATCTTTTCCACGACCATGTGATGTGTCTTTTGACACGGTTGTTTAAAAAACGAGAAGCAACTCATTGCATAAGTTGGGGTTAAATAACTTGTTGCCAGCTGAAAGATAATCAACCATGCAGTAAATATCCAATAGGAGGCTCGTACATATTTGCTTAGTTAAATCCAGGTGGCGACTTGTTTTGAGGCCAGGCAGTGTATAAAAAATGTTGGATGCAGTCTACCACGGTACGCCAATATTCATAACTGGTTGTAACTACCGTATGAATCACTGCACTCTGTACTCCTTGGTCAGTTGGTCATCATTATCTACATGTTGGCTCCCACACTGGTTCATTTTTATCCATAAATCCCTCCTTGGTCTGCTACCTTCTTATGTCTCCTCCCACATGTCACGTCGTCAGTGCAGTTACAGCGTGCGCTCTCAGGCCATCATTACCTGCAGCGTTCCCCCAGTGCGGACCGAAATTAGCAAAAAGACCTTTTCCTCCTCGGCTCCTGTAACCTGGAACACCTTGCAGGAACTGACGTTGTCCACCTCAACTTCTTTAGGGAATTTTTAAACATTTAAAAATCAAAGCAAATTTGTTATTGTTTTTAGTATTTTACCTTGTTTTATGGCGCCCTGATTTATTGTTTTAAAACATTTATTTTAACTGAATTTTTACTGTAATTTATCGTTATTGAATGTACTTTATATGTTCTGTCTAAAACAGGTCTCTTGTACGAGTCTTTGTGGCTCAATGAGACTAGCCTGTATAAATAAAAGGTTGAACAAAAACAAAAAACCTAACTCCACCTACAGTTTTTATTTTTGAGAAAACCACCAGTTCTGTCACATTATTAAGTCTAAAAATAATGACGGGACTTTTACCTAAATGTAATCAGGTACCACTCAGATGAGATGGAAGTGTACAGCCATTTTGATGTAAATAGTGAAAATCCAATTTTCCACTCGGCTGAAAACAAAGACCTTTCTGACTGACTGCTGAAAAAGAAGCCTTGAGCTCTGAGACATGTTTTTTTCCCTACTCAAAATGGATTTCATGTCACGCCCCCCTTTCATTTCTTATCTTGTCCCTTAGGATACATTCATCAAACGGCTGCTAATCTAATGTAACTCATGTGACCCAACTCTCTCTGTAATCTCATTCAGAAGCAGAGTTCAACTACGAAAAAATAAATACTATTTGGGAGCGAAGTTAAATCTGAGCATATGATTATGAGTTATTAAAGTTCAAATTCCTACGAACTATCTGAGGATGTATTTCACACATGTACTGATGATTCATGACTAATGAGAAAGTGCTGCAGGTGTATGAAACAACAGAAGAGAAACCGTTGATGAGGACGTTTTTCATGCAGGCACGTGTGCGTCTTCAGCTGGAGAGTGTTTCAAAGGAAAATCCAATGATGTGTCACAGCGCTGAGACATTTCTCAGTCTTGTTTCTGCCAGTTCACACAGAACTGACAGCAGCAGTGCATCATCCATCAGTTTAATGGAGCTACAAGGATTATTGTGTGCACTGGTATGAAATGGTACGTAATCTGCATGTTCAATAACACAGCAGTACAGTTTGCTTAGCATTTATAAGTTTAAAGTATAAAGAGTTTTGGCCCATTGTTGACATTATAATTAACACATGCAATGATCAAACTGGCACACAAAAGCAGAACTGTTGGCCTTTTTGAAAATTTCCAGGTACGCATGACAGCAATACCTAACACGGAGGCCTCCACCCGTTTAATGATAGATGGGTTCTCTTCACAAATATGGCCTCCTTTTAAAAAAAAATGTAATTTAATTTTTTTTACAAAAAGGGGAACCTCTATAGTTGAGTTAGCGTTCTCAAGGTCAATTGTCCAAAACAATCAAACGTCACCGATGTCTGAAGGAAGGAGGAAAGTTTTTCCATTTTATTTTGTTTTCAAAATGAAGAAAGGAGCGTTGAATGAACGAGAAGTTTACTTGAAGTCTAAAGCAGCAGATGGAGGGTTCTAACAATGGAGGACACTGAAGTCACAACACCATTTCCCCCTACGATTTCCATTTAATGACAAAGAGACGATTCATTCAGAGGAGAGAACAATGCTGTGAAATGTCTTCTTGAAAATGAACACAGTGAAGTGGGAACAAATATTGAATAAAGTGATTGAATTAGTTTTTATTTTCCAAGTACAAAAAATGGTTCGTTTAAATGTCACAAGCAGGTCTATTTCTCATATTGGGCGTTTATAAAGAGGCTGACCTGTTCTTTCTTGGCCGGGGTGCTGTGTCCGGCAGCAGCTGGGAACTGCTCCTGCTGGTTCTGGGGTGAGGTGGGTTCGGCTGCTGCTTTAGCTTTCCCCTTCCCCGTCTCCTTATTCTCCTGTGGCTGCTTGGCCTCGGAGTCTGCGCCTGATTCAGTTGTCATGGTAAATCACACTGGGGTGGAGGAAAGGAGGTACAGAAGAAAATACGATGAGTCAGACGGCTCGTTAAGAACTGATTTAAAGCCCTCCCTTTGTCAGGTTTGTGCAGCGATACGCTCCCCTCTGATGCAAATACACACATGCCCAAAGATTGTTTAATACAAGCGGCTCAAGTCTCTTGGCTCAGTAATCACAGTAATGGCGGCAGCTGCTTGGCCTGCTGGAATCATGGCATCAACAAATGATAAAACGGATGAATTCACTCTTATACTGGGAGGGTAGATTACACTGTTTTAAACAAAGTTGATCAAATGTATCCATTCATCCATCCATCATTTTTACACACTGCTTGCTTTTTGGGTCGCAGGGTTCACTTGTGCCCATGTCCAGCAGTCACAGTGCGAGAGGCGGGGGACACACCCTGGACAGGTCTCCAGTCCATCACAGGGACACAGAGACAAACGAGACAACCATTCACTCTCTCACTCACACCTAGGGACAATTAAGAGTTACCAATCAGTCTAACGTGCATGGTTTTGGTCTGTGGGAGGAAACAGGAGTACCTGGAGAAAACCCACACATCCACAGAGAGAACACGCAAACTCCACCCAGAAAGGTCCTTGGCCAGAATTTGATCCGGCAACCTTCTTGCTGAGAGGCGGCAACGCTACTAACTGCACCACCGTGCCGCTTATAAAATGTATCATTTTCAAAAATGTAAAAAAAATAGTATAAACTTATGAAAGTCTGAAGCGAAATTTTGGTTTCATGCTAAATACCACAGGTGTATCAACTGAAGTGTCACACAACCAGAGAAGCAAAAAGGAAGTAGTTGAAACAGTGAATAGCCGTTTAAAAAATTGTTCTTTCCTTCTAACATTCTAATTATCTACAGACATTTAGGTCAGCCTAGCTTTAAAAACAACCATCCAAGAAGCTATTAGCTCATTAATTTAGTTTTTAGTCCAGATTAATTGGCTGATTAGAGGGAAATTAACTGACAAGAGCGTGATAATTAGCTGTTTATTAATCAGAGTAATATGTTAATTGTCTTTTTTTCTTTTATCCTTAAATAAAACAATGTAAATGAACAAACAAACAAACAACAAAACAAAAAACACACCGACTTGTTTTCTTTTATACAAGTCAGTCTCCCACATGAAACTCCAGCTGGTTGCAGACTTCATTAGTGAAGGTCTGCTGGAGCAGATGAGGGCATCATTAGAAAGTCCTGGAACATTTTGGAAAACCAGTAAAATCCCTGAGTGAGTTAGCGGGGGGTGCTGAGAGTGAAGAGCTTTATGTCGTGTGCAAAGGCAGTCAACAAGCTTTCATTAACTCAAGTTAATGTATTAATTAGTTAATTAAATGTCAAGCTTCAAGGTTCTTTAGTGTCATTCATACCACATGTGGTACATGAGGTGGAACGAAACTTTCTACTCAAGGTCTCAGTTACACCCCAAAATGATTAGATGCTATAAAGAAAGAAGATGCAGATTTAAGATCAGAAAAAAGTTAGACAGTACATGCATTTACAGTAATTTAGGTTTTTGTAACTATTAGAAGCCAAAATAAAAATTGATAAAACAAGTAATTTAACAAATTAGTTTCCTAACTGTCTGTATATGTTTTGATCAATCATTGAATTATAAAAGTCTAAAAGTAGTTAAAATAAGAAACTTATTGCTGGCAGCTTAAATCTTCAGTTGTTCAAAGTCTATATTTTTAAACAGCAACTTTTTGGTTTAGCTCCGATTTATAAATAAACTTGTAATTGCAAGATTAAATTGTAATAGCCCCCATTGTTTTAGCTCTGTAAATCTTAATTATTAGAACTTAAAATATTCATTGATGAGTGTGGTAAAGATGCCCCGTCTACGTTCAAAGTATCTGAGCTGCATCGCTTCTCGTCTTTAAAGCAAAACATTTTCATTCGTTTAAAGAAACAGCAGCAACAGATTCTGTGTAAAGGACCCAAAAGTTGATGATGAGAGGAAATATTTACTGGCTGTATATGTAAAAGATGACAAGATGGCCAGATCTCACTTGGGATGTGGGTTTAAGGGGCGTGTTTATGAGACTGAACACCGTCTCTGTTGAGGTTTGTAGTACGAATGCCTATCATTCTGCTGCCGGCCCGTTTCTCCCTCAGCTCTATTTATAGGGACGTGTTTACTGGGAGGTGAAAGGATCTCTGACTCCAAGCCATGGCTGTTCCGACCCACAAACACTTTGGAGTGAGGCGATCCCTGAAAATGTTGACAATGCTGACTCAAAAAAATGAAAAACTGCATCAGTTACAAAAGAATGCTGGGACTTTTTGGTTAATGATTTTTAGAAACACATGGAAAATATATCTTTGCTAATGAGCTGCTTGTTTGAATCCCACTAGAACCATAAGAAAAAATTATTACAACATACTTTTGAATTAAAACTTGGTCAAGCAACAACAAGAGATAAAAACCTTGAGCACAGCAAGCTGCTAGCTGTTACAATAAGCTAAATAATGTTGACTCAAAGCAGCAATAAATCTGGACTCGGAGAAGCCAGGAGCGTGGGTTTCAAGGTCCAAAAGGTCAGTGAATGCAACATGCTGATCAGACTCTTCTCAACCTCAGGGGCTATAAAAGCCAATAAAGATGGTCAAAACTAGATTACAAACATCACTAGCGTCACTGCAAACAAATCAATAAGTCACAAGATTCACATTCCAACTTTCACTTGAAGAAATCCAAGTGAGGAAAATAATTTCTAGAAAACACTACTAAGCTGAATTTGGGCAGAAACCCTGTTAAACCCTCTACTGTGCCTTTATTGTGTCATGTGTGGCAGACTTGAGCTGCGGGTCAGTAATCTGCTGACAGAAGATGGTTGAACAGACAACCTTTGCATTGCCTAACCCTCTGGAAAAAAGGAACTATGGACGGAGGGGAGGAGGAACATATCAGCACCATAGAAACTGAGGAAGAATACGTTCAGTCAGTGGTGACAGGCACTCTTTACGGGACACAAAACAGCCCAAACAGTGGCCTCGTGTGTGGCCTTCACCATGCACTGGCACATACATGAAGCATTCAAACAGCTGTATTCACAACTCGTTTAATGCTTTAGATTACAGCTCACACACTGAAGATTGTGCCAATACAGCCTCGTTAGACTAAGATTCATTTCAAGACAAAAAAGAGCAGCGTTAATTTAATCATCTGTGATAATTGAAACATAATAAAGCAACACCTGCACAACAAAACTGCAACATTACACACCCTATAGCGTCAGCAGAGTACTGTTTGGCAAAGTTTCTTACAGAGAAACTTTCAAGCACAAAAGAGGAGTTTATGAAATCCCACATTTTCATCAAACACTAATCCAGATTTAAATCCACCTAATCAATTCAAATCCCTTTGGATCCCTTACTGAATATTACAATATGTAATTTTCAGACAACAACTTATGAAATAACTTGACTAGGAAATACATTGAATTATACTTTCTTAGTTTTAAAGGCATTAGAACTATTCTTGTAATAAGAAGCGTTCATAGAACAAACTTTGTCATACAGTAAGGAATTTTAAAAAAATCTAAATGAAAACAACCTTGGATAGGCAACACCAAAAGACACGTTACACTGCAACATAAATGAATAAAAATTAAGTCTAAATACAAAGTTGTGCTTGTGAAAAACTAAGAGTCAAAATAATAAAACAAAAATATCCATCTTTTAATATAACCCTATCAGTCTCTCACACAGTTTTAGAATTTTGGCACAAACTTTTGTACCAATTTTGCTTCAGTTCATTGATGCTTGTAGGTATTTGTTATGTACAGCTTTCTAATAAACCTGCCACTGCATTTTGGTCAAATAATCTGACAGGACCATTGCAACATTTTCAGTCATCCTGTTGAACAGATGATATGTTTGGGATTATTGTCATGTTGCATGACCCTGTCTAGGCCAAGCCATGCGAGTCAAAGTGATGGCGTCACATTTGACAATAAAATACTTTGGTATACAAAGGAATGGTCGACTCAATGAACACTAGAGGCCACGGTTCTGTAGCTCCAAAACAAGCCCAAAGCATCCCTCATTCACCACTGTGTGTCAGTTGTAATTTGTTTGTGCTGACAAAATAAGTTTGGTTTTCACCAAACATCGAGTTATTCATTATGGTCAAACATCTTCAATTTGATCTTATCCAAAGAATGCAATTTAAAAAAAAACGTGGTTTGTTTCAGATTAAAATGCTGTGCTGCCATGTTTTCTTCATGAAAAGGGGTTTTCTCCTGCTAGTCCTTACAAACAAGACATACTTGTTTATTTTATTTCAAATGGCCCTGCTATAAACTTGGATAATTAATATCATACAGCCTGGAGAGCATGAGATGTAGATATATATATATATTTTTTGCAATTTCATTAAGCATTACACAAACTTGCTACAATGTCCAGTACCAAAAAGACCGTACTAAATACTTTTTTAAAATAAGATTTTCTGTCCTAACTGTAAACCGAGAGCTGCATCCTTGAAAACACAGCAGGAAGTAGAAACATCGTAGTGAATTTACTGTGACTCATCATCCCCAGTCTGCTGCCTGTCACTGACCAACCAATGAAATCACATTCGGTTAGATATCATACTCGTGTCTAAACTAAAAGGGCAGCTGTGCTTTATCTGAATAAAGCTCCATTACATAATTGGTCAGTGACTCTAAATGTCCTGTCCATGAATGTAAACCTCCATTTTAAGGTCCACTTGTGATTGTTCTGCACACTGCGAAAGAGAGGCCCGTGCACACTGAAACATACACATTTATGGGAGAGCGAGGGGCCTGCCATCTGTGCTGAGTGCCATTAGCCACACTACTTCACAGCTGGGCCCACCTCTGACCCCTCCAGCCCCCCACACCAACAATCCTGGCGGGGGCTTATGAAGCTTATGTGGACGGGAATGCTTGAAGTTTTTTCGGCCATGCTAAGACCCATCCATAGCAGGCCTGTAGTCCATGTTGAGACCC